GATGCTCAGTCTTAAACACACTCTACACTGATGTTGGTGTTATGGCGCCCCCTGGTGTTTATTTAACCTGCAGCTGGTTGTGCTGCAGGAAGAGTCAATATTCTGTCTTTATTTAAACATGTATGTATCTGTAGAGTCCATCATCTGTGTTCTGTAAAGAGACTGATGTTTGATAGATATTTGATTGACAGGACCAGCTGACACTTAAAAAAAGACATGTCCTGTCATTTATGTCGGTTATTTCAGCTGCTGCATGTTGCTGGTTTGTTGTTGTTTCTCTACTTCAGATCGTTTCTGAAAATTTAGAAATAAAATCATAAACAAAACAAAACAAAAAAAATGCATTAAATTAAAATCACACTTTCATGTTCTTGGGTCTGGTCCTGTGGAAATAATGAACTACTCTTGTCTTTGTTGTCGTTTGTTGCTTGTTGCTGCATGAAGTTTACAGCATGACTGAGACAGAGAGAGAGACTGTGATTCTGCTCTGTGTCAATAAAGGTTTAAAGGACAATTTGTTTGTTTACTATTCATTTGCTGGATTTTATTTCCCAGTGTATGTTTAATACTGCATGGTTGTAAATGCTTCTGTACATGATGTTAACAAAGTTTGAAAAGAAGGGGAAAGATCCATTATAAAACCAAAGTATAAAACTGAACTTTGTAGTTTATGAGTTTGTTGAACTATTTTTAGATGTAATACAAAAAATATTTAATATATAGTCTCTCTATTCTTGGAGACTTATATTTTGAAGTAGACAATTTATTATTCTGAAAGACTACCGGAAGCCAAAAGCAATAACAGAACCACATCAGAAGAAGAAGAACACACTACCGGAAGCCGACCTTAGAAATCAGGATGTCGTGTAGGTTTCCGCCGCGCGAAGTGTGCAGCGGTTGAAAACAGTCCGGGTTTATGGCTGAATGAAGTGAGAGAACACGCATATTTTCTGGGTTAAACCTTCGTTTTACAGGTAGGAGATAATGAATATTTAATTTTCATATCGATACGGCTGTTTGTTTTCTGGTTGATGTCTGAAACAAGCGACTTCTCACCGGTTTTCACCCTGAAGTGGATGAATTTCGTGCTAACGAGGTAGCATCGATCTGGCTAACGAGTAGTAAGTGTGTAAGTAAAGTGATGGTTTGTGTTTTTAATGTTCTGGTTCTTTCTCATCCAGTTTATTTTATATCATAATAAAGTCAATACCTGTGAGTGGACATTTAACGTTAAATATTGAAAGTTTGATTCAGTTTTTTGACATTCTGTAAACTAAGAGATGAATCGATAATGATAATAATCCCCATCTGAAGCTGAATTACTTTATTCCACATGATTCAGAAGTGACTGACTTCACTTTGAGGGACTGTGGATGAGAATATGTGAGAAATGAGATTTAGAGACACAGTTCCTTACGCTATTAAAATAATGAATCCATTATTTAATGAATAATACCAGAGTAAACACGTGTAAACGACTGAACAACAACTTTTTCGACCACAACAAAACAAACCTCAAATATTCAGTTTACAGTGACAACGAAAAGCAGCAAATCTCTGAAATCTGAGCATCTTTGACTTTCATTTCAATATTTTTGCTTGAAAAATGACTGAAACGATGAATCAATAAGCAATTGATTGACAAATATGTTTAACAGCTTTTGTTCTGGAGACATCAGTTAATATCAGTTAATGTTAAATTGACCTGATTCTGTGTTTTCGGGTGTAAGCAGCTGCAGAATCAGCAAGAAGTCATGGCTCACATCACTATCAACCAGTACCTGCAGCAGGTAACCTCTGACCTTTCACCTTATTCACCTGACTGTTGTAGAGTAACAGGTGGAGTCAGTGCGCTCATTCTTCGTTGATGGTTCTTCTGCAGGTTTATGAGGCCATCGACAACCACGAGGGTTCGTTCTGCGCTGAGCTGCTCTCCTTCAAACACCCTCATGTCGCCAACCCACGGCTCCAGGTGAGGCTCCGCCCACTCACGTACATGCACCCAGTGTTTCTAGGATATGGTCTCACCTGCATGTGTGTGTGTTTCAGCTTGCCAGTCCAGAAGACAAGTGTCAGCAGGTTCTGGAGCCGCCGTACGATGAGATGGTCGCAGCTCACCTCAGGTAGGACGGACAAGCAGCTCATCAGTGCAGCATCGAGGACCCTGGGAATTTATTCAAGGAGCTCTGGAAGCTCCCAGCTGCTTTAATATGACGTTTACTGGCTGTACCATTACATTACATTAAGTTGAAGTGTGTGTGTGTGTGTGTGTGTGTGTGTGTGTGTGTGTGTGTGTTACAGGTGTACCTATGCAGTGGCCAATCATGACTTTGTTGAAGCCTACAAGTTCCAGACGCTCGTCGTTCAATATCCTTCATGATGAACACACACACACACATACACACACACACACACTAGAAAACACGCATGATATCGTCTTTGTCCATCAACCAATCAGCAGCCAATAATTGATCAGTCCTTCTCCTTGACCTGTCACATCCTTCCTGAGGGCCTTCCAGTCCCACAAAGAGGAGAACTGGTGAGTCCAGACGCAAAGAGTCAAACACAACAAGATAAAACTGAAGCTGAGACGAACACGGCGACAGTGAATGCAGCATTATTAATCACAGTTGGTTTGTGCTTTCAGGGCTCTGCCGGTGATGTTCGCTGTCACTCTGGATCTCAGGATATTCGCCAACAATGTAAGAAACTTTCTGTCTGACTTTTCATTTCAGCAAACAGGGAAAAATAAACTCTATACTGGAGTGTGTGTGTGTGTGTGTGTGTGTGTGTGTGTGTGTGTGTGTGTGTGTGTGTGTGTGTGTGTGTGTGTGTGTGTGTGTGTGTGTGTTTTCAGGCGGAGCAGCAGCTGCAGAAAAAGGGTAAAGGTCAACCTAGTGAGATGTTGGAGAAAGCAGCAGAGCAGCTGATGAGCTGCTTCAGAGTGTGTGCCAGCGACAAGTCAGTACAACACACACACACACACACACACACACACACACACACATACACACACACTGTGTACATCTATACAGACACAGCTTTAGACGGAGGATCATGTGTTCTACATGGAGCAGTGAAACAGTTTTCATTGGTGCAGTCGTGCCGGGATCGAGGACTCGAAGAAGTGGGGGATGATGTTTCTGAGCAACCAGCTCTTCAAGATCTACTTCAAGGTCTGAGCTCACTGTGGACCGATCCATCGTTAGTGGTTGAAATCTGAAGTTCACTTGTAGGGCAACTTTGACTTTACTGATCCTTGATTGGTTATCGTTTGTGTGCTGCAGATCAATAAGCTGCACCTGTGTAAGCCTCTGATCAGAGCCATCGACAGCTCCAACCTGAAGAACGACTACAGCCCAGCTCAGAAAGTCACCTACAAATACTACGTGGGCCGCAAAGCCATGTTCGACAGCGACTTCAAACCAGGTCAAACTAGACTCCAGTAACAGTGTAGTAACACTGTAGTAACACTGCAGTACTACTGCAGTACTGTTACTGCAATTGAAGTGTGGTTTTGTGTCTGTAGCGGAGGAGTTCCTGTCGTACGCCTTCGACCACTGTCATCGCTCCAGTCAGAAGAACAAGAGGATGATTCTCATCTACCTGCTGCCGGTCAAGATGCTGCTGGTTAGAGACTCACCTGTTCACACCTGAGTTCACACACAGTTTACACCAGTTTACGTCTGGGTTATATCTGGTACAATGAGTTGACACTGGTTCAGGTCCCAGTACTCCCAGTATGACGGCAGGTTGTTTCCGGTGTTCCAGGGTCACATGCCGACTCATCAGCTGCTGAGGAAATACGACCTGATGCAGTTCGCCGACGTCACCAAAGCTGTGAGGTGAGCAGAGGTTCTCGACGCAGTAACGCAGGAAGTGACATCACGCAGTCAGGTGACCTGTTTCTGTGTTTGTCAGTGAGGGGAACCTGCTGCTGCTGAACGAAGCTCTGTCCAAACACGAGACCTTCTTCATCCGCTGCGGGATCTTCCTCATCCTGGAGAAGCTGAAGATCATCACCTATAGGAACCTCTTCAAGAAAGTGTGAGTGAGGCTGAGCCGCCGCCGCTCGACCACCTCACTTCTTTATTCATTTTATATATTTATTATTTGTCTACGTCATGTTTGGGCCCCTGTAAAAGGAGGCCATGTTCTTTGGCCCCGTGTTTTAGACATCACATATTTTAATTCTAAGTTCTGTCCTCATGGTAAAGACATTGTGTTGTGACCTGAAGGATTTGATGCCAAGTTTGGCACCTATTTTTCTGACACCAGTTTGAGCGCCATGTTTTTGGCCCTGGGTCTGTTCCTGAAGGACTGACCCCTGTCTCTGACCCCTGTGTCTGACCCCTGACCTCCAGCTGACCTCTGTGTGCAGGTACCTGCTGCTGAGGACACACCAGCTGCCTCTGGACGCCTTCCTGGTGGCTCTGAGGATGATGCAGGTGGAGGACGTCGACATCGACGAGGTGCAGTGTATCCTGGCCAACCTCATCTACATGGTGAGCACACACACACACACACACACACACACACGCACACCTGTGTTTAAACCTGTTTATTCTGTCTCCTGTCAGGGTCACATCAAAGGCTACATCTCCCATCAGCACCAGAAGCTCGTTGTCAGTAAACAGAATCCATTCCCTCCTCTCTCCTCAGTCTCCTAAACTACGTTACCCACAATCCCCCCTGGCTGTGCTGCTCCACAGCCCCCCCTGGAAACTTTTCCCATTCAATTCACTCTTTTTTTATTTTGTACTGTAAAAAATGTTGAATAAAACAGATGCCGGTTTGTACAGCTGTTTATCTGATGGATTATTGAACCAGTGATCAGTTATTGATTAATCAGGTTCAGTCGTTCCCTGGAGCCTTCGGACCGTTTCACCTGCAGCGTCACACGCTGAGTTTTTAATGCATTTACTCAGCAGCTTCATTTACATTTACACACTTCACACACAGGAAATGATCTCGACTTTAGCAAAAGCTTCATCGTTTTATTACTTGACATTTTAAATAAATGCAGGATGTCGGTGCAGAAACCAAGAACCAGGACTGAAATCAAACTCGTTAAATCTCAGAGCGTCTGATGAGCAGACAGGAAATCGTTCATAAAAGTGAAGAAAATTAAAGGTCTACAAAGAGTTTAAAAGGTGGCGGCGGACGGCGGGTCGTTAGCGAGTCTCAGGATACTGGCTGACTTGGGGGATCATGTGATCCTCGGCCACCTCCAGTCTCGGTCTGATCCAGCTCAAGTAGCGGGAAAGTTTGGTGAACACGTGGCTGCCGTCGTTGCAGCCTGCGGATGATGACATCAGCAACCCGGTCAGATACGCCGTCCCCTGCTCCACCGTGGCAACGGGCGACCCCATCAACAGATCGCCACATCCCCTGCTGCCGACCTCTGACCTCAAGCCGCTGACAGATACTGAGGGCTTCTGGTTTGAGCTGCGGGTGTTTTGATTTTCTTCGTTGGGCGTCCGCCGGGCGCCGCTCTGACCGCTCTGGCCACTGTGGGTTTGATTCCGGCCGCTGTGTCCACTCCGCCTCCTCCGTGCCACACTTCGGTCCCCTGAAGGTCCGCTGGGTCTCTCCTGGGCTCCATTTTGATTCCCTACAGGTCCGTTGTGCGTCCTCATGCAGAACATTTTGTTGCTGAGCGGATGCGAGACGTTCATCTGGCTGCGACACTCGTCCAGCGTCATGTAGACCAGGTCCTGGTTCCGTCTGCTCCTCCGTCTCCCCGTGATGCCCGTCCTCCCAGAATGCATCAGGATGTTTTCGCTGAAGTCCTTGTTGGGCAAGCAGAGGTGGATGAGGGTGGGGCTGAAGGTCAAGGGGCGGGACAGCCCGAGGAGCGCGAGGTTGTCGTGGTGGTGATCTGAACGGAAACGATCATGGACATACAGAGCCCGCACACGGACTGCCACCTTGTCGTTGCCTAGGAGATGAGAGAGAAGACGTCAAAATAATATCCTTCAGTGGGCTTTTATTGTGAAAAGAGATTTTCAATGTCACAATAAAAGTCCACAGTGAATATTACATCAAATTTCATAATTTAAGAAAAAAAACCAACAGATAGAAAGTCGAGACGAGCGTCATTCAAACACAGTGTGTGGCCAAAAGTATGTGGACAGTTAGTGACATGTCTTGAGTTCCTTCTTCTTCTCATGTGACTTCTGCTCCTCCACATTCGGCACATTTATTGTCCACATACTTTTGGCCGTGGATTGTGTTCATAGTATCTGGTGAATGAAGGTCCGTACCAGCGACCACATACAAGTTGGAGGGCTGGAGGTCGGACCCCGAATCCAGGAAGAGGCAGCGAGCGGCGGTCAGGACAGAGCGTCGACCCAGCACCACGCCAGCACATATCTCCACCCCCCTACTGTTCAGCAGGGACACCTGGAGAGGGAAAACAAACACGCATCAGGAGCTTCAATGTTAAGGTACACACACACATACACACACACACACACACACACACACACACTCACTCTCACCTGTTTGTGACCAATGCTTCAGGTTTTACAGTCTAACTGAAACACCTGCTGTTAGTCACTGTGATTGGATGATAGCTATTCTGGGTGAGCTTTGATTGGCTGAGAGGGTCTTACCTGCCAGGGACAGTGTCCATGGCGACACATTGACGTAGTTGTGTTGAACTTGGCAGGAAGTCTTCCACAGGGAAAGTCCACTGAGGACACAAAGACCAGTTCGTACTGGTTTGGTAAATGTGGTAATTTTGGTGTGTGTGTGTGTGTGTGTGTGTGTGTGTGTGTGTGTGTGTGTGTGTGTGTCAGACCTTCAGGCAGACAGCTCCGTTTGTCGGCCTGTAGTTTGAATCCCGGCATGCAGGAGCAGGTGAAGGAGTAGTGGGAGGCGGTGCACAGCTGGTGACAAGCTGTCGGACCGTCGGTCGGACACTCTGCGATTTCTGCAACAGTGACATCACACTTAAAGCGACGCAACGAGAGTTCTGAACATTTCGGACATGTGCCATAAATGGCTGTGTTGCCATGAATACGACAAATTAAAAAATCTATTAATGACTCATCTCCAAAAATCACATCAGAGGACTCAGTATACCATGACTCTTAGAGGTAAGCCCCTGAACGCACCACGAGCACCACGCCCCTCCATGTGGGCGGGGCTAGCGTCACTGTGGATGTGGACCAACCTCGTGGCGCAAAGGACGGTCGTACTACTTGTTCCTTCACACTCAGTTCACACGCTGGTCCGAAGTGGGGGGCGGGGCAGGAGCACAGGAACCCCCCCACTTTGTCAGTGCAGTTCCCTCCATTGAGGCAGGGGTTGGACTCACACTGGTCCCCGTCTGATGGAGACCAGGAAATAAACAATTAATTATTATAATTTTATTATTCAATTATTTAATTATTATGTTAGAACTTAATAATACTGTCGTGATTATGATGAGTCATAATTTACAACATCAGGATAAACTAAGTCATGATTACTGTTTTTACTTCCTTGTATTTATTGCACATTAAACTATCATTGTGGCATGTAAAACAGTATTATTCTTATATATAATGTATAAAATTAAATACAAATATTTCTAATATGAAAAAAGAAATAAAAAATAATGAAAATAAAACAGCTATAGAAAAGACACATTTATACATTTCTATTATATTTGTTTATTTTAAAACTGCTTTTTCTGGTGTTTGTACAATTTTAAATATATTTTTGCTTTAGAAGAAAAAAAAATTGTGTTTTTGTGATTTAATCTGAGTAATAAAAGACAATGACACTGAAGAAAACTCACCGTAGTAAACGGTCCAGAAGGCGGTCTGTGGAAACAAACACAAGTTAAAACCAGAACCAGAACCAAATTTTCATCTTCATGATAACATCATAATTAGTGAGTGACCGTCTTCTCGTAGTCTTCAAAGCATTCCCGCGCCTCCTCGAAGCTGCACAGCTCCTCGTAACACTCCCTCTCCAGGTTCCCCGGCAGGATCTCCTCCACCAAGAACATGTTGGCCCGTTTGGACCTGAGGAACACCGCGTGGGCCTGAGGAGCCTGACGAAACACTGACGACACGACCACGGTAAGCTGGGACCGGAGCAAAGCTCAACACACTGTATTTACATGAAACACCAGAGATCCCCACAGTGCACTCCCACTGCTCCAGTACTGTGGTGATGATGATGATGATGATGATGATGACGGACAGTCGCAGGTCATAAGTCAAAATATTCAACTGTCTCATCATTTGATTTAATTACAGTTTTATTACAGCATCTAATCCTGTTTATTATCACAACTATAGTTAGATATTTCATGTCTTATTCATCATTTACTGTCTTCATTTTCATTCAATAAATAATTATGATTCAGTAAATTGTAACTTTGACAAACTGAGTTACGTTTATATGATAATTACTAACATAATTAAACTGAGTCATCCTTATTGCAATGTATTTCTAACTTTACCATACTAATTCATAATTCTGACATATTTGTCTATAAATTGTAATAATAACATACTGGGTCATAATTATGAGTTAGAAAGTCATACTTATAATAAATCATAATAGATTAGTTCATTATTGCACACGCCATAATGATTCCTTTGATGATTGATGATAATGAAATAAACACATCTATAAAATATCTACATATAATGAACATATGATATAATGATTAATAATTATGAAATATGATCTATAAAATACTTACAATATAAAGTGTCCATATCCACATAATTTTTACTTTAATAATAAATTAATTAATTAATAAAACAAGTCATAATTCACACAGGAGGTTGTGATTATGTTATAATGGTTAATGATAGTGATACACTATGTTTGTATTATTTATGTTATTTGACATATTTGATTATATTTATACTGAAAGTAATAATCACTTAATGAGTATGAATGACGGAGCCGTTCTCCACACTGACTCTGACCTTCTGTAATTATGACTCATTAAATGATTTACTGAGTCACGATTCAAACACTCATTATATAGAACTGATTCATATATTTGACATATGAAGTCATAAGTTATTGATTAGAAAATGATTGTTTCTGATTCATGAATCAAATGAGGAAACGTGACAAACTAGATCGTACTGAGAATGTAATGAAACCTTTTTGTGTTTCAGTCAGATTGAGTGAAGCAGGTTAAACAGAACTCCACACGTTTCAGCTTTAATCTGGAGCATTTGAAAGACAGTCGACCACACTGACTATAAACCTGCTGTCACTAATGGCAAACACAGCAGGGGTCAGAGGTCAGAGGTCAGAGGTCTTACCTTCTCCTTGGCTGAAGACCTGAAGGAAACAGGCAAGGAGGTGAAGAGACAGAACAGACGCTCGACAACAAGCCGACATGATGCTGACCGCCATGACACTGACTCAACTGCAAACACACACCCGCACAAACACACACACGTATACACACTGATGAGTCACAACCGATTCCTTATACAAGAACAATCATTTTAGAAATTAAATATAATAAAAAATATAACAAAAGAACCAAATTTGTTTTTCTACATACATGTGTGTTTTCCATATTCTGATTAGAAGAACAGAAAAATGGGAAAAAAGGAGTTCCAACGGAAATTTGATGGAATATAAAACTGATTGCAGGCTCACTTGAGCTGCAGTTACACACATTTTTTAAATCTTTTTTTAAAACTTTTCAAAGTCTTTTGTCTTTTTACAGGAGTCAGACTTTCAGTTGTGTTTCCATGAAGAGTTAAACTTTAAAAAACATTGTGTTCCTGCAGTGGACTCTGGCCTGTTCTCTCTCTCCAGTCCTCAAACCACACAAAACAAGCAGCAGCTTCGACCTCTGAAACTTCAACATGCAGTTCATTTGTTTGTTGGAGGTAAACAAGGGGAGGATTTCATCACTGGGATTAATCATTTAAAATGACACTGGGATATTTCATGATCAGAAAATAATCAGAACATGAAGAAAAAGAAATATGGACACGGTGCTGGTGGAGTTAGGGGATGAAATCATTCTTAAAGACGCGTTAACCACAAAATGATGTTCCCGAGCAGTAATCGAGTTTCTGGTGTATGAAAATACTCAGAAAAATCTGTCTTATTCCAGAAACTCAGGAAAATAAAGCTCAATTTATCAATACTAAAAATACCAATATTACAATTTGACAATTGAATCATAAGTCAAGGTCCACTTACTAGTTTTTTATGATGCTTTCAAACCATTGCTCACAATCTGGAGTGAATGGAGCCTCCTTCAGTCAAACTACTATTTCCAGTTTGTCTGTAAATGACCATGATAATGAATATGATAACTATATTCATGAATCTATAGTTTTCTCAATTGATTGATTGTTTTCTCTGAAAGATATCAGAAAACATTGAAATGTGCCTGTTAAAGTCCCGTCAGTATTTTAGCTTAATTCACACAAAAATTTCAGGCATCAGATTATTCTGGTGATGTTTCTTTATTTGCTTCAAATTCAGCTAAAAGCTCATTTCTGGCAGCAACTGATACAAAAATACATGAACACAGACATTGATTTGTTAACACAAATCTTTAAAATGTTTTTTATTTTCAGTTCCTCCTGCTCCAAGTCGCACACAGACCCGTTTTTAATAATATTGATCAGCAAAGTGTTAAATTAAGCAGGTTTACTCTTTTTTTCATTATTCTTCATCAGCTGTACTCAAACTCGACTCCAGATGAGTGATCGTGCTGCTCAGTGTCAGGTGTTGTGTTTACAGACGGGACAAAACTATCATTTATTGCAGCTTTAACAAAAACTGTAAAGGGCCGCGAACAGAACCCAGAGGAACTCCCCAGCTCAGTACTGATGATTCTGAGTCTGCTGGATGTGGAAGTCAGAGTAACATGATAATATGTTCAAATTTATAACATTTTGTTCGGCTGCCCCCAAGTGGTCAAAAAACAATTAATACAACTTAAATACAACAGGGTTAATGTTAAATTATCAAATGTTTTCTGAGTTTCTTTGGCTGAACTGTGACTGTTTCCAGTCTCAAAGGTAAAATAGATGAATACATGAGAGGTACAAAGTGTGGCTGATCTCAGCAAGGAGATCCAGAGATCACCGTCTTACAGATACAGCCTCTTGATGGGGCCATGGTGCCTCTTCGCCCTGCTGCCTTGGTTTTTGGGCATCATCCTAGCTAAGCCCTCTCGGATCCAGGGGATGAACTTGGACACCTGGGTGTAGATGCCGTATTTGCCTTTACGTGCGCAACCTTCGCCCCAGCTCACAATGCCAGTGACAAAATAGGTGTCACTGTAGCGGGTGACGTGCGGCCCACCGCTGTCGCCTTGGCAGGCGTCCTTGGCTTCTAGTTTGTATCCTGCGCAGAACATGCGGGCGGAAATGCGCAGTTGGGTGGATTCGATGCAGGTGTGCCGATCCACGTAGGGAACTGTGAGGCGTTGCAAGATGGTGGACGCCTGCCGACCCTCACCGAGACGGCCAAAACCACTGACCAGCCCGTCTTGCTGTCGCATCAGGACCTGCAAGAGGAGTTCAGACATGGAACGAGTTATTAAGTGTTAATTAATCATCAACTACCTGTCCCCCTGTTTCTAGTTTATGCTAAGTTACGCTAACCGGCTGCTAGCTGTAGCTTCATATTGAACAGACATGAGTGAGATCAAAGAGTGTTTCTCAAAGTTAGTTTACGGTAAACGTGTTTAAATTGGTTTTAACTTTGTTTTAAAGTTTCACCTTTTCAGCAAACTCTGGCTGAGGTATGCAGGCTGGCAGGATGAACCTGGAGAACTTGATGGGGCTGGTTAATTTGATGAGAGCGATGTCGTTGTGGTAGGTGTCCGGTCTGTAGTTTTTGTGCGCGACAAGAGTTTCCACAAAGTGGGTCGCTTCATTGCCGTGATCAACCAATGTGTCGAACTCACCTGAACAGAAATGATAAATATTTTACCAACATTTGATGTGCGATTTTTTTGTTGTTGACTCTATACACCGCTGATGGTGGTAATTGGTCAGTCACATGTACCGAGCTTGATGTACATGTAGCGTGATTGGTTCAAGCAGTGGGCGGCGGTCAGGATGATGTATTCGTTGAGGATGGTTCCTCCGCAGAACCCAGTGTTGTCCTCGTTCAGGAGGAGAGCCTACGAAGACCAGATGGGAGCAGAAAACAGTTTGTGATGGACTCCCAGGTGTCCATGTAGAAACAATAATAGACAATGTAGTGTTTGTAATGTCTGTACCTGCCATGGACACTCTCCTGGTGGACAGTCCTGTCCATTGACGATGCGGGTGTTTCCTGCCATTTCAGAGGGGATTGTCTCCTCGAAAATGGTGTATTTAGGGACAAATTTGTCTTCAATGTCGCTGCTGTTGGTGTTGGTCTCGAGGTCTGTCATGTTCAACCCAGTCGTGTTCACCCCTGTTGTGTTCTGTCGCTCGTACCTGAAAACAGTCCGGGTGGATGAGGAGTGGATGGCACCACACTTGTAGGTCTCTGCAAGAGTTGATGTGAGGTTCAGATGTCAGGGTCTGTACACTGAAGACTGATAATTGAAAGAACCATCTTGGCTGTTTTTGGGGACCAGTCAAAGACCATGTAGATCTGAGATTCTTACGGTTGGACTTGCAGGATTTATCATCTGATCCCAGGAAATATCCGTCAGCACAGGAGCACTGAACCTTTCCGTAGACCACTTTGCAGAAATGATCACAGCCGCCATTTTTGGTCTCACAGAGCTCAGGAATAACTGCAAAGGAATAGAGAACACTGCCAAAACCAGGGGACAACTCTGTCGCCAGACAAGAATATCAATACCGGACACTTGTGGAAAACCCTGAAATATACTGAATGATATTTTTGGTCTCTACAGTACTTGGTATGGCAGGCACAGCACAGTAAGGTTAGGGAAAGATTGTGCTAATGGTTAATCAAAGGCAAACATCAGTGGCAGGAGCTTGCTTTTTACATCATGACATTTAAAACATAGTAGTTCCTGCGTTGGCATTGGATGTAAATTGAGAGAAATCATCTAATATGGAAGTACTTCCTGGGAAAACCAGGCTGGGCAACAGCACCTGAACACCTCTCCATGACGTCTGGATGAAGTCACAGAAACCAACGTTTTGAACACTGGAAGCAGGAGACTCATGAATCAGAATCTCATGCCTCTGTGTTGAGTGACATTGCTGGATCTGAACTGTCCAAAGCGACTGTTTCTTTACCAATCTCACAGTTGATGCCCTGGTACCCGGTCTGACAGTAGCAGGTGTAGCCGCCGATCCCGTCTTTGCAATGTCCTCCATGAACACAAGGCGTCGACTCGCACGCGTCGCCATCTGCAGGACAAACAAAGGAGGTTCAATCGGCAGAAAACCTCACATGCACAAACTCTGACATCTAGTGGTGAAAAGTGTTACAGCACTCTCCAGTTTGGCTGCTGTTACAGCGCCTCTTTTAAATTGGCTCATCTGTTCGTAGAAAAACTCGTAGAACAACTTACCGTAGTATTTGTTCCAGAATTCACTCTGAGAAAGAAAAGAGAGCGAGAATGAAATTGAGGAGAACAACTTAAAACCTGATAAGTCTCAGTAAAGGAGGGTTAATGGGCTAATGTTTGTCCTTTGTGGAGTTCAGTTGCAGATCTGAAACCTGAACCAAGAGATTTTACTTTTTTATGATTACGATTTTGTTTGCTGCCAAGTTAGCCATCGGTAAATAACATACACTGAGAAATAGCTGCAATGCTAACTGTTCCTCAAACCACAATCTGTTGTTTTTACATTTCTATTTCTATTTCTTTTCATCTGGTAAAGCAGGCAACAAATGAGGTTCCAGTTCTCTGTATCTGTCTGTCTCTAACACTTGTAATGATGGGTGTGTTTGTTGTGTCGTTGCAGGTTAATACAGTTTTCTCTGTGTCTTCGAAGATCTCTCGCGCCTCCTCCTGGTCGCAGCGCTCCTCCACACACTCCCTTTCCATGTTGCCTTGTTTAACCTCCTCTAAGAAGCTGTTGGCTCGTCTCCGCCGGGTCAGAACCTGATAGGCTGCCTTGTTCTCCAAGAAAACTGGAGGCAGAGCAGAAGAATAAAGTCAGGTGAATGTTTCAGCAGTCAGCTCAGCATACCCCAACCCTACTGCACTTGAGTTGCATTGTGGGTATTGTAGGCAGCAGGTTTTGTGTGGAATAAAAAAGATAATATCTCTATTTAAATGTTATATTAATATTTACAAGACGTCAGGAAGCTGCAGCTTTTTCTTGCCTCTGAAAATGTGGACGGATGATTTTAGAGAAACTGCAGAACCACTGTCTGTGGAGCTGTGATAATTGATCAATTAATGGATTTTTTACATTATTTCCGACTAAATGCAAAAAAAATCTTATTATTGACAGTGAAAATAACGGTTATTTGCAGCAGTTTAACAACAGAAAGAAAAGACCAATCAGAGCCCAGCAAGTGGTTTGTTTGTCCAATCAGATGCAAGAAAGCTTGAACACAAGTGGGTGAAGGGAGAAACAATGTCATCATGTCTCGTGTCTCCATTAGCAGGACGGCTGTCATGTTGACATCACACACAACATACTAAACACACAAAACGGGTCGGGGTCAGGGGTCAAGTGTCACCTGCCGGCCACTAATCACCCCCCCCACCCCCCAACACACTCACTCAGCTCCTCTTCACCCTGCTTTAACTCCACGTTCTTGTCACTGGTTGTCTATAAAGGTTGAGTCTTGATCATGGCGGACGTACCGTGAGCGGCGGTCAGGTGGAGCAGCAGGAGCGAGAGGGACAGTCGGTGAAACATGGCCCCGGGTGGTGGTGATGGTGAGTTCGGCTGGAGAGACCTCAGTGTGCTGAGTGGAAGTAATGGAGTCTGAATGTGGAGAGAGGGAAAGAGAGAGGAGGGGCGGTAGAGAGGGCATTGACCTGTATGGAGGGAGGGAGAGAGAGAGGAGGGGGAGGAAGGGGTGTCGACATGTTTATACTGCACCCATCAGAGTGGGCGGGGTTTATCCACAACACTGACTTTCACTGATAAAAAGCTGCAACACTGTTTCCATGAAGTCAACTACAAGTCCCAGGGTGCACTGCTGGAAGAAACACCCAATCACAGCTTCAAGAAAATAAAATGGGAATCATGAACGACCTTAATGACGTCACAAAGGCTGCACCGCCAGCCGGGCCCCCAGAGGCCCCCAGAGGCCCCGGGTTCATCCGGCCCTGGTGCTAACACCTTCATATTATTCACAAACATTTTCTTCATCATCGTCTTCATTGGCTATATTCTCACTCAGGCTCCACCCACCTGGAGCCTTCTTCACGTCAGCAAACAGAAACATCAGATCTCCATCTTCTTCTTCTCCTTCTTCTTCTTCTGTGGTTTAATGGCAGCGAATGGAGACTGAGCTCCACCAGCTGTTTATGTCCATCAACCAGTCGACTCACAACTCAGACTGAAATACAGCAGATCTCACACACACTCTTCATCATCATCATCATCAATGGTGTACATGCTGGTACGAGGAAGGTGCAGGAATGTGTCGGCTGATTTCCTCTGGCAGAAGAAGGAGGGGTGGGGGGGGGGTGTCACAGTAAATGGTGAGTCACAGTGTTCAGAGGACTGAGACGTCCACAGTCCAAACTGATCAGTATTTACTCTGATCAGCTTCACACACACACACACACACACCAGAAGCAGCGCTGAGGAGGAACCCCTGAGCTCATTTTAGTATCGGCTCCTTTTTCAGTGTCAAAGATGATTAACTAACATCTGATAGTCTATATTTTCAAAATAAAGTTGAAGGTCAAGTGTGTCTAAATTAATTAGTTTGATTTGGTACCAGTCATGCACATAGATTCCATCTTTGCAAATAACTTTTGTTTTTGTTGAAATTTGTTTGTTTGTACAAATTCAGTTTGTAGATTATATTTTCTTTTTTTAAATTTAACTATTGAACGGAAATGTTTTCTTTTTTTTTAATATTATATTTCGAAGTTCTCACAACAGTCCCTGTTGAAGCTCTGGTTTTTCACAATAAGAGTTATGTGTGAAAATGTGGACATTCATCACAAATCACCACCAGGATCTGAATCAGTCACTTTAATTCAGCATCATTATATTATTATTATTATACATTATGAGCACATATTAATCTTAAAATGTTTTCAGCCAAAACAAAAACACAAAGAGACAAACTTTACCATCAGGATAAAATAAAGACTTTAACTGTTCAACTTTTACTGCTCTAGTTTCTGTCGTAGTCGGTTCTTAAAACTCATCTTTGATTAAATTAATGTCTGTTCTAGCATGTCCAGAGACGGAGCGCTTCTCTCCACTGGCTCCTCATTGGCTGTCATCATGGTGGGCGGGTCTTTTATGATGGTCTCCACCCAGTCCACAAAGTTGGCCATTTTGGTGTACACCCCATAATACCCGGGGTGTGAACAGCCCCGCCCCCAGCCGACCACGCCTGTCAGGAAGTGGGTGGAACCGTACAGCGTGACCAGTGGGCTACCGTCGTCTCCACGGCAACTCTCTTGGCGGCCCTCCAGGTATCCGGCACACAGCATGTTGTCGGTGAAGTTGAACTGGGCTCTGTGGGAGCACTGGGAGTTCTGAATGATGGGGACAGACATTTTGCGGAGGATGGGGGACACCGGAGCACCGGGCGGGGCGGCGGGGGTCTCAGTGTTGCCCCCTGAGGTCTTCTTGCCCCAGCCGGACACGGTGTGGTAGCGGACCAGCAGCAGCTCGCGCTCTGAGAAGTCTGTGGTGGGCAGGCAGACGGGGATGACGTCACGGTTCAGGGTGACGGCTCGGCTCAACCACAGCAAGGCGACGTCACTGTCACCTGTTGCCGGGACGTAAGTTCCGTGAGCAATCGCCATGGAAACAGGTATCTTCTGTTCTGTGCCTTCTTCTATGTCCAGGTTATGTTCCCCTGGAGACAGAAAAAACAACGTGAAACAACACCTCACAAACTTTAACTTCACAATACAGACTCCGATTAATCACCTGCCACCACAGTGAGGTTTTTGGGGTTGTTGCCATGGATACAGTGGGCAGCAGTAATGACCCAGTCTGGACGGATCAGAACACCTCCACAGTGGCTGTTCCCGTTTAACTGAACCAGAACCTGATGACGCAATGACATGAAACAAAAAGTGACAATAATTAGAAGAAGATTCCTTCCTCAGAGGATGAACCCTTTAGATTTAAATGGTTGTAATGAACACTGCAGCCTCCAGGGGGCGCTGCTGTTCAGTAGTGTTTGGTCCAGTGGTGTTTACCTACCAGGGACATTGTCCTCTGGGACAGTGGTTGGCTCCCACCAGTCTAGTCTGACCCACAACACTGTGGTTCAGGCCTGTTTCCTGTGGAGCCAGCTGACCACACGGATACTCCACTGTAACACAACAGATGATAAATGAGCTGATGTAAAGCTTTACACAGGAAGTACCAAGTTACATGTGTGCTACGACTTATTTTAGACGGTATTCATGAAGTTTGAGCTCCGAGCAGCTCCTGTCTGCAGTGCATCACTGCTCTCTGGTTTGTAATCACGTTTATGGAAGTTTGAATATGTTTCACGTCTGTGTGTTCAGATTTATTACTAAGTGTGATTTCTGACACAAGTAACGGCAGTTAAGCACTAAGGGTTTTAAAGAAGCCTGCGTTAATCTTGTTTTTATCTTTCATCCTGTAACATGCAGAAGCAAAGCACCGAGGAGTTCAGGAAACATCCATAGACGCAGTTACAAGGTGTTTGTACCCTGAGCGACACACTGTCGTCCGTCCTCTGCCAGTTTGTATCCGTCAGCACAGGAACATTTGCGTCGTTCTCCCGAGCCGTCACAGAAGTGCTGACAGTGTCCGTTCTGGTACAGACACTTCAGGGAGTCTTCAAACACTGAGGAGAACAAAGGTCAGTTAATATTATTTAACATACATTTAGTTTGACAACTTCACAACAAACATCATTTAAATGACTCAGTTTTGTATAATTGATTGATTGATGATGTCTTTTACCTGTCTGACAGTATCGTCCTTCAAACCCCTCAGAGCACTGACATTCATAGTTGGTCCCCACGTAGACACATGTTCCATTGTTATGACATGGGTTGACCAGACAGGGGTCACGACCTGACACAACAGACCATATAGTTAGTTAGTTATAGTTTTAATAGTTTCTGAAATAAAATCTCATATAGAACAAAATAACTGACAGGGCCGTGGCCACGGACCAGATCCAGGGTCACATGTTACAGAACATTCAAAGACAGAAGAAGGAGGATCAATAAAACCTGATGACTGGGTTTCAATATCAAAGAAAGATGCTGATCAATCAATATATGACTCATCAGAATAAATCAATATATTAACCACAGGTTGACTGTTTAAGAAAAGTCATGTCGTCATTACTTTTACACTTTGAACTGATCAGTGATCAGTGAGAAACTTGTGTAAATCAGATGATGTGTGTGTGTTACTCACGCTCATACGTCAGCCAGAACTGCCTCTGCACAACAGAAATCAACTGTTTTATTCATATATTCATCTTTCATTTTATCCTCAGTGATAATAATCACAGAAGGATTTTGTTGCTTTGATATTATTGGACCCACAATGTCTGAAGTGAGCCACAAACATTAACTCTGTTTCACATAAACACTTCCCCTGTCAAGTAACAAGTGATGGCGTCAGTGTTCGACAGACTGACTGACTGACCGTCTTGCCGTCGTCTTCGAAGACTTCTCGAGCCTCCTCGTAGTCGCAGATCTCCTCGATGCACTCCCTCTCCAGGTTCCCTTGTTTTAACTCCTCCAGGAAGCCGCTGTTGGCTCTCCGCCATCTCTGCAGCACCGTGTTCGCCTCGTGCTTCTCCACGAACACTGGAAACAAGAAACTGTGACAGACTCAGGAGCTCTATGGTCATCTCTTTATTGAGATAGCTGTGATGTATGTAAGTTACGAACATGCTATAATACAGCCCATAATTCACAGTGTGGTTTTCTTGTAAGTGTTGGTTAAGTGTTGGTTAAGTGATGGTGAGGTGTTGAGGATCAGACCTGCAGCAGCAGTGAAGCCCAGCAGCAGAGTCCAGATGGTGCAGCAGCTCCTCAGCAGCATGTTGGCCTGTGTTCAAAGTGACCCAGCAAAACAAGATGGAGGAGGGTTTTTTTAGGGGAGGCGGAGCATCTGAAGTCCACGCCCACTGAGCCTCCGACCCTCAGAGCCAACACAAGAAAGACACGACTCATTTCGAATCAGGTCAGTAAACAAACCTGAGGAGATCACTCACTGCTCCACTGTGGTTTCTACTGATAAGTGTTTAAATTTTTAAAGCAAATGGGTCAAATAACTGCAGGTTTATTATGGTTTAACCATTAATTAACTCATTCTGATTGGCTGTTGATCTGCAAGTCATTCTGTTGTTTGGATAAAGACTCTTTAGCATCAGTTTGTCCTGTTTAAATCCTATATTGTTTCTACTCTCAGTTAATAATCCATTAGTCGCCTGCAATTATAAATGTTAATAAATCATTCATTTAAGGTTCCAGTCTGCGGTTCTAAATGTTAATAATCAGCTAATAAACTGATTGTATTCCAGATGTTCTACAGCTGAGCTAAAAAGACAAAGTGTTGTGCTGGAGGTGGATTTCCCACAACCTGGCAACCCAAGAGTTGTTCTTATTAAAAACGGATGGATCAATAAAGCATCAATCAGTGATTAATAAAGTTATTAATTACAGTTCATAAACCTTTAATGGATGGTTCCTCAGGAGGAGAAACTGTAAACACCACTCTCTCTGCACTGTACAAACATACTGGAATGATGAAATCATACACACACAGGAATTTACCAGATTGCAAAACCTGCAAAAACAACCACACCACACACACACACACGTTCATGACCTGTGACTGAACTCACACAAATATGATAAAAACAGACTTTTTTTTAGGTGTGAAATATTTTGTTTTATTCCTACAAAACAGTGAAGTCAGATTATAAATTATAATCAGTGTAACTGACACTTTTATTCTTGTTAAACATAAAGACTGAAGCTCACTGGCTGGTGTACATCGTTAGATTATGCTGAAGTAAAGCTTTTTGATAAATTAATTCATCCTCAGTTGTTAAAACGTCAGATAATAATCAGAAGTGTAAAAAGCTGGAGCAGATGTTTTCTTTTATTCAACAGTCTGAAACACAGAGGTCGCTGGTTTGTTCTGTCGTTCATGACAAACACATCTTCATGTTTGTGAAGCTGGAACAAGTTTTTTCCTGATAAATGACTAAACGATTATTCAATGATCAACGTTGTTATGGTGTCAGCTCTGGTCGCTCCACAGGGGCCCAACAACGAGGCCCCTGGGCAGTTGATCTGGTCCCCACCGGCCCTCAGGTGGTCAGGTTGTGAGTCAGAGCCTCTGTGAGGTTTTTCGGACGATCTGTCGTCGCCGTTCGGTTGTGAATCCACTCCAGGTAGTTGGACACCCGGGTGTAGATGCCATAGTTGCCCGGTCGGGCGCAGCCCTTCCCCCAGCTGACGATGCCCAGCAGGAACGTGGTGTTCTTGTACTTCGTCACCAAGGGCCCGCCGCTGTCGCCTTTACACGAGTCCTGCCGGCCCTCGATGTACCCGGCACAGAACATGTTCTTGGTGAGCACCACGCCACTTTCTGCCATGCACTGCTGCGTCCGGATCCGTGGCACCTTCAGGCGTCGCAGGAGGTGCGAGGTGGGTCCATTCTCGCCCCTCCTCCCCCAGCCGCTCACCGTGTGCAGATTGATGGCCCAGAGGTCGAGCTCAGCCAGGCGGCGAGTCGGCAGGCACACTGGGACGGCGTACTGTGTGTAGGTGATGGGTGACGCCAGGCGAAGGAGGGCGATGTCGTTGTCGGCGGTTTGCATCACGTAATTCTCGTGCATGATGATCTCAGACACATGGATGACCTGCTCCGTGCCCTCCTTCACACCTGTGTTGTGTTCACCTGACAGACAAAGAGCAGGGTCAAACCGGATTCACTCCCGCCTCCTGATGCGGTTAGCTTGCTGTGAGCAGAGGGATTCGTACCTGCGACCACCTTCAGGAACCGGATGTCTGTGTTCTCCATACAGTGAGACGCTGTGAGGATCCACGTGGGTTTATAAATCACTCCTCCACAGAAACCTTTGTCTTTGAACATCAGCAAAACCTCCAACAACAAACAGGAACACAAACTAATCACAAACAATAAAAGTAAGTAAATAACCTTCATCAAAACGAAATACTTTGAGGTTTCCAATAGAGTCTGGTTTAGGCACAGTTTCAAAGGTTAGAGTCAGACATTTCAGGACTGATACGTCCTGACAACAAAAGAGTTCAAAAGAGCTGTGCTGAAACCACACACAGGATGTACAGTAGGGTCAACTGCACTCTTATCTTTAGCGTACCTGCCAGGGACATTCACCTTTGGGACACTCTGTCCCTCCAACGATTCGAGCTCGAGAGTCCAGCTGGTGGGCTTTGTTTTTATCCTGGAGGACGGGCACCATGCCGCACGCTATCGACCCTGAACAAACAAACAAACAAAAAGATATTTTTAACGTTGACTTTGTAACAAAGCAGCAGAATGTGACGCAGATTTGTCTGTTTTTGTGACTGTGGTGTCCCACAGGGATCACTGCTTGTTACACTGTTGTTTTCTTTCGCCACGTAGTCAGAGCTTTAACATACACAATATAAATGATCACTGCTATGCTGACGACACACTCGTCTTTGTTCCTGTAGCAGCAAATGACTCGTCACAGGTTTTCAAACCAAAGGTTTGTTTTTAGGGGTCAGTGTAGAGGGAAGAAGGAAAGGCAACCACCAATTCTGACAGAGATAAAATCTAATGTTTCTCTTCAAATGAAGCTCTGTGATTACGTATGTTATTGGCTTTTTGTGTAGATTATTGATAATAATCATCTGTAAGCTTGTATTTCCATCTGTCGCGTGAATGAAGCAAGCCCACCTATCGCTACGCAGCTCTGCCCGTCAGCATCCAGGAAGTAGCCGTCTGCACACGAGCAGTTAACTCTTTGTGCTTCTTTGTCTTCATCACAGAAATGTTCACAGCCTCCGTTCTCCAGCAGGCAGGTGTTGGGGACGGCCAGGAACTCTGAAAACAACATATTTATGTTAGAACTGTTTGAATGTTTGACGTATTAATTAAATTAAATAATCTTACTCAGTAAAGACTTATTTAGTTTGTGCACTGCAGGGATTTGAACAGTGTCTGAGCTGGTAATAAATCATCCAAGTACAGCTGCGTGTCTTCGACAGCTCAAATCAGACATATGATCACAAACCATCACAGAAAAATTAAAGTGTTTCTATAATTTTACTGAAGTAAAAGTATTTTTACATTGCTGTACTTGCGGTACGTTCTGTTTGGGATTTTAAAAAGCTGGAGGAGGACGTGTTTTCTTGGTCCATCAGATGGATTTCGGGCTACAGACTGAGCCTCCTGAGCGGGTAATAAACTTTAGGAACACCATGTGTAATTTTTCTCACCAAGCTCACAGTTGAGTCCGCTGAACTGTGGCAGACAGAAGCAGGTGTAGGACGAACTCTGGGTGGAGCAGCTGCCACCGTTCAGACAGGGGCTGGATTTACAGTTGTCTGGGACTACAAGACAAACACACTGTGATTATTCAATGTCACACAGTACAGGTGTTGTTGCTGATGTAGTTTTGCTGGTTATCCAGGTCCAAGTTGTGATAAGGATGATTAAGGAAACTATTGATGATTATTGTGACATACAGCCAGGAAGTATTGACATAAATAATAATGATAAAAAGTCATGCACTTTACTGGCAAGATCTTTTAACTCCTGCAGAAAACTGTTTTACATAGCTGAGGCTCGTGCAGCAGTTCACCACCAATCCAAAGGCTAGGATGGTCCTCCAGGACAGTGGTCGGTCAGGACTGGAACTAGCCCAGATTAGCAGCTAGCAGGACTCTTGAACAGTGGGATTAAAGTGTGTGAGTTCTTACCATTGTACGTCGTCCAGAACTCGTTCTGAGGAGACAAAAATACCACAGATCATTCACAGAGACGAGGTTCATTCACAAAATCAAAGAAACATTCACTGGTTGTTCAGGAAAAAGGAAACAAAGGAAACATCAAATGCATTGTATTACATCTCCAGAATTATGTAATCTAATAATCATGGCAGTTTAATCAAATTTAATCAAATTAAATGTAGTTAGATCCAATCTCATCAAGGTAACAGTATTTTACATTTTACATATAATCTCAGCTCTTCCAATAATCTTTCTTAAATCCCAGTTGATCTAGTCAGAGTTTGTGTTTCTCAGGATTCGGACCGTGGTCTCGGTGTGTTCAAAGACCTCCCGGGCCTCCTCGTACGAACATTTCTCCTCCAGACACTCCCTCTTCAGATCTCCCATCTGCAGCTCTTCGAACCAGCCCGAGTTATACCTCCGAGTCCGGACCAGGACGCCATGGGCTCGATCTGGATCCAGAAAGACTACCAAACAGAGCGGGAGGAAAGAGGAACCACTGCGTATGAATTTTTTTCCTGGTTGGCACAAAATGTTCCACAGAGATTCACGGTCCCAGAAGATGAATCTTAATCACATTCTCTCTAATGCCAAAGTCAACATTTGTGTTTTCAAGTATAATCTCGTAACAACCGTTGGACAAACTGATGAAACAGACATTCATGCTCCCCTGAGGATGAACTGTAATCATTGATCCTTGTGCTGCTTTCATGTAATACGGTGGTTGACGTAATTTCCAACATTTTCTGACTCATAAATAACATTCACATAAATGTCCAAGTTGTTATTACATCCAAACACTCATTCATGGTCCCCAGAGGATCAAAAACATTAAAAAGTGATAACATCATCATCATCATCATCAGCTCAACATTCATTTTTATTTGGCTCGTGCCCAAAAACAAAAGTAATGCCATTCCCCTCAGATGTTCTTCTGTTAACATGCTACTAACCATTAGCTGCTAAACGTCAGCGTTGTTATTGTGAGCATGTTAGCATTCTGGTGTTAGCATAGCCTCACAGAGCAGCTAACATGGCGGAGGACTCTGGATGTTTTTATAATGTGGAGCTTTCCTCACCTGATGCCGGCTGGCAGCCGCAGAGGCTGAAGACCAGGGTGAAGAAGACTCTGAGCCACATCGCCTTCATCAGAGCTGAGTGCTGTGCTGCTTCTTTGTGGACGGAAAGGTCCAAAGTCTGATCCACTCCCCCCTCCATCACACAACCCATCCCACCTCCCTCCACCCCTCTACTGATCACATGCTGCCAAACTGACAAAATGTGACTGTATCTGACGGCTGCTCTGTTCTGAGAGCTTCCTGCTCCTCTACAAGTCTGACAGATCCAGAGGTCAGAGGTCAGAGGTCAGGCAGAAAATAATTCAGTTCACTAGATGATGGATAGTGAATCCTCCTGAAGCTGGATTCCCTCACTTGTTCTCCACATACAGTTTGTTTTTACGTGTAAAAAGGTGAAAAAAAGGAGAATAAACTTTGATTATTGGAATGTGGGAATAAAATTTTCATTGGCCACATTGACCCTCGTTAATAGACATTGATTTAGTTAAAACAAAACATAATTCCTCCAAAACAGATTCAACTGACATGAACAGACTCAATCCCAGTTCTCACTTTCTCTTTATTTCCAACAAAATGACACTTTTTAATAATAACCCATAAAGGAGTAAAATGATGCCTTCAGGGTCAATAACTATTTAAACTTTGACCATGAATCTAACAAGTCTTTAATTTGACAACACAAAAAGATAGAGATTACACAGCATTAGTAACTATAGATGAACTTTTAACTGTTTTAAAGACCAAATGATTAATAAGTTATTTGTGAAAAATAATCAACTGATGAATTATCTTTTTGGTGACAGGTCCAGTTTGGGTCTGGTCCCAGTATCGGAACCAGTTTCAGCCGGTGGACTTCATGTCCTCGATCCAGCCCAGGAAGTTGCTGACTTTGGTGTAGACCCCGTACAGGTTTTCGTTGGCGCAGCCCTTCCCCCAGCTCACCACGCCCGTCAGGAACCAAGTCTTCTTGTAGCGGGTCACCAGAGGGCCGCCACTGTCGCCCTCGCAGGCGTCCTGCCCTCCGGCCCTGTGGCCGGCACAGAGCATGTTCCTGGTGATATTGAGCTTGGTGTGGAGGCGGCACTCCTGCAGAGGGACCCTTGGCAGCACCAGGCGCTGGAGGAATCTGGCGGGCGGACCGTGCTGCGCCAGGCGGCCCCAACCGGACACGGTGGAGTGGCGGACGGTCGCCAGTGTCCTGATGAAGGTGGTATTGAGGGCGGGAAGGCAGATGGGCACCACGTGGAGTCCCAGTTTGACTGGGTGGTAGAGCTTGAGCATGGCCAGGTCGCTGTCGGAGCTGGACTTGTTGTAACCAGGGTGGATCAGAACTTTGACCACCCGCCGCCTCTGCTCGCTCTTCTCTTCCTCCTCTCGGTCATGTTCACCTTTACAGAGACAGTGTCTTATTTCATTAATAACAGAACCAAATCAGTCATTTACTAATTTACTTCCCTTTATTGATTGATCCCGCCTAATTAAACTTTAGTTGATTTGAAAGAGGAGAAAGAAACCATCACACACTGACGCCTCCTGTTCCCGATCAATTAGTTCCAATTCATTATTGTTGTCTTCAAATCAAAATTAAATTTATACAGGAAACAAGAAAAAGGAGCCGAGGTCTTACCGACGATGACGTGGAAGATTGCGACAGGTTTCTTCCAGACGCAGTGAGCTGCAGTCAGGATCCACTGATCTGACAGGACGATGGCTCCACAGGTGTACACATTGTTTTCAGTCAACAGAGCCTGGGCAGAGATGCAGTGACATCATCACACACTGTATCTTCATTACACCTGTCTAATCTGGACGGGAGACGGAGACTGTGGCTCGCAGAGTCGTGGATATTTTAATACATGAGTTTGTAGAACTGGAGTCATTGTTCCCCTTGAAGTGACGATTATACAGGAGCTTACCTGCCATGGACAGTGTCCTTTGGGGCAGATTTTCCCGTTAACAACCCTGGGGCTAAAGTGGATCTGTGGTCTTCCACAGGGAGCAGCGTCTGGACCAGGGAGACCAGAAAAACAGGCTTGTTGCTTCCTGGTTGCTGATATTTTTTGTGGTTGTAAAGTTTCTAAATTGGTTGCTAAGTGGTTGCTAAGGGGTTAGAGGGTGGTACACAGGGTTTCAGTCCAGTTTTTAGTGTTTTACTGGGTGGTTGCTATGATGTCTGCTGTAGTTTCTAGTAGGTGGTTGCTATGCGGACACTGTGGCTCCAGGATGAGGAAATGGTTGCTAGGGCATCACAAGGTGGTTGCTATGTGATTACTAAACACTTAATAGGTAAGAAAAATGTGTTTCCAGACCATTAATCAATAATGAAAGCCACATAGTCATAATTGCTAAATTGTTGCTATGGTATTGCAGGCAGTTTAGTGATTGGTTGCTGGATAATCAAAAATTGGTTGCTAAGTGGTTGCTATGGTATTCATACTAGTCTGCTGGGTATTTGTGGGTAGTGTAAGTCGTGAGTCCTGGTTCAGACCTTGGGGCTGGCAGGTGCTGTTGTCCCGATCCAGCCTGTATCCTGAGGCACAGAAACAGGCGTAAGAACGATCCGGAAACTCTCTGCAGAAATGTTCACATCCTCCGTTTCTATAGCGACAGCTGCTGGAGGTCAGACGCACTGCGAAGAGGAAAACAGACGAAAACCACAACTGAGTTTATCAGCAGTACTCACAGAGATGTGTCAGCTGGTATTTTCTACCTTTGTCACAGTTGTATCCATGGAAACCAGGTGCACATTTGCAGGCATAGGTGTCTATATGGCGGGTACAGGTCGCTCCGTTCTTACAGGGGGAGGACAGGCAGTGATCCACCGCTGTAAATGGGAAGCGGCAAAGAGTTTTTAACAGACTGAACATGAATGAATGTTATGAACCCTGACGGTGTTGAGTCTCAGTACCTGTGTAAGTCCTCCAGAAGGCCTCCTGAGGAGAGGAACACACTAATTAAAGACCAGATAACGAACATGAACCAGGAAAGGTTTGAACCCTGACTGACCAGCTGTTGTGGCACGGCGAAGATCTCCTTGGCCTCCTCGTAGGAACATTTCTCCTCCAGACACTCTCGTTCCAGGTTCCCTTGCTTCAACTCTTCCAACAGGAAGTTGGCCCGACGACTGCGGCGCAGGAAAACACTGGCCTCAGGTCTGCTCACAAACACACCTGCTTTACATTAAAGCACAGGACACGTGGCCAATAAGGCTGATGTAAAGATCATTTAATGGGATGGACAATTAGATTTATTTAAAACTAAAGCTTGTTAATGCTCAGTTAGCAAATTCAAAAAGTTCAGTTGCTAACGAGACAATAAATTCACATGGTTGATTTAAAAACATATACATATATAAATATACATATTGTACCATTGACTCTAAGCAAAACAAGTGAAAAACAGACAATATTTTTTTTGTTTTATTTTGTTTATTTGACAGAGTTCAAAAGAAGGCATTAAACTAATGTGTCGCACATAGAATTTAGAGCTATTGCTAATTCCTTTTTATGACCTTTTTTATCCAAATAAAGAAGAAAAACCTTCATTATTTCTGAGAGTTAATGTTCTAATGTGACTTTAGTGTTCTAAGCAGAACGTCCAGCACATTGACATCAGTCCTCAGAGAACTTCACAACAGAAAGACGTGGACGGCTGTGGACTAAGATGGCTGAAAGAATGAAGAGGAAGATGAGGAGGAGGAGTATAAGATGAGGAAGAAACAGATGACTGACCTCCAGGAAGCCCAGTGCATGCTGGGATAGAAGCGATGAGGAGTCGTAGGATGAAGAGTCGCCTCGTTTCTCCGCTGACAGACGCCATGTTTGTTCTGAACTGATCAAAGGTCAGAGATACTGAAAACACAGAAACGCTCACAAACACAGTTCACAGTGCAAACAGTTTGTCCTGAAAGGTCCTGAGAACGACTGACACTGACCAGCTGACTGACCAGCTGACTGACCAGCTGACTGACCAGCTGACTGACCAGACTCCTACAGTAACTGTATTAAATACCATTTCCTGTCAAGCTTGGGTCAGTTTTCGTTATTTCCCACATGAAACACCAGTGTTGGTCTTTGTCCTTTCCCTCTGGTTTGAAGTGGGCGGGAAACGTGTTGACAAATACCTCCATGCACCAATCAGAATTTAGAAACACGGGTCTGTGTAAAAGCCTGAGCAACAGGCCCGGCTCTAGACGTGGGCTCGGGGGGGCAGTGCCCCACCACATCGTCCCGCTTCATCTCAAAATTTTAAAAATCACTGAAAAGTATTTTATTTTGTCCTTGTGGATTTGACCAATAACAACCCACATTCCAATAATCAAAGTTTATTGGTATCTGATCGGTTGGTCTGACTTCTCTGTGACTAGGACGTGGTTTTAGAATTAAATACATTATGAGCTTATGTGTTATCACATTCTATGGCTTTAGTTTTGAACAACATTAAACAGTATGTTAACATTTTAAGTCATAACGAACACTCATAGAGGAGCCCACTAACGAGAAGTCAAGTCTGGCAGTTAGTGACCAGTTGTAATTACATGATGCTTCACTTATTCATAAATTGGTGGGTGGCGCCCTCGTGTGGCAACAGGTGTGCTGCATCCTCCATTTATACAGTAAATTGCTGATGTGATGTACGTTTTTTTAAATTAAATAAAAAATAAATATTTTTATTTGTAGTTTAATATTCAACAAAAGAGACGGTTTGGACTCTGAACACAGATTTTATTTTTCATGAGCCGACACAGAGATGTTCATTTACAGGCTGCTGGTTCCTCGTGAAGTCTTTAAAACAATCAAGAAGAGAGGAAAATTATAAAAACATTTCATAGTTTTGATCAGTTTTCCCCCTGACTTTTTATGATGATCGTTCCCATGATGACCAGACAGTCCATACCACCAGACAAAACACGTGACAATAAAACTTTATTAATGAAAAGATTTTCATTCTTAAATAAAACATGACACAAGAGAATTGGAATCAAAAGTGTAAAATCATTAAGTTTGTAAACAGGAAGACAAACAGATTCAGTGGAAGTTCTGTTTTTATCTGTTTATTTCTCAGTGCTGCAGCCCCCCCCCCCCGCTGCTTTCACTCTGTCTCCTTCAGGATGTCGGGGATGAAGTCCTGGCCATCCCTCAGTTCCTCCTTCCACTCCTGCGGGATGACAGCCCCGACATACGACCCCCCCGCCCCCAGCAGGGCTCCCAGTGCCGCCCCGCGGTTACAGTTCTCACCTGGGGAGGGACACAGGTAAGACACAAATAACAACATATACACCTGTAGACAGCAGCCAGTGGTACAAGTACACAAGTACTACCAGCTTTGTGTTAAAAGTACTTCCTGTTTCCTGTGACTGATCTCTGATCAGATCGCTGATCCTGAGTCATGTTACTGTTGTAGCTGTTTTAACTACGTCATATAAACTTTGGTCCACTGGTTCCCAACATAGGGGTTGGGCCCCCCTAAAGGGTCACCAGATAAGTCTGAGGGGTCGTCAAATGATTCAGGGGAAAGAAGAAGAAACAAAGTCCTGACTCACTGATCTGGATTCAGGTTTTGGTCTTTGAGGCACAAGTATCTTAATATTGTCCTTAAGTACAGTACTTGAGTGAATGTACTCAGTTACTTTCCCCCTTCCTTCAAAGGTTCCTGCTGTGGTAGTGCAGCTCCAAACCTAACCAGCAACTCTTATTGTGAAAGGTATCATGTTATGCTGAAGTATCAGTGTGAACGAGCTTATAATTAAATGTTGGTAAAAATGAACTTTCTTTTTCTTCTCTGTTCTTTCATCTCGACCGAGGAAGAAACGTACGAACCTCCACAGTTGGTGTTTGCCAGGATTCCTCCTCTGGGGTCATCGTGAAACTCGTGGGCCAGGTAGAACATGCTGGACAGAGCACCTGTTGGTTCACACAGGTACGTCACGTTTACAATAAAGAGATTCAATCATAAAATAACTGCAGTGCTCCTCCTGGACTCAGACCTTTAGTGTAGCAGGCCAGACCCAGGTAGTTCACAGCGCTCTGATGGACCTTCAGTCTCTCCTCCGAGGACACAGCAAACCTACAACACACACACACACACACAGTTTTATTTATACAAATACAATATTAAAGATCAGATATTAAAGTCACATTTCAGAGGTGACAATCCCTCCCTTTTCTGGTGGGCTTTTAATGTGAAAAACCTACAGTAATAGAAGAAAAGTCAGCAAGAAGCACAAATATTTCACAATAAAAGCACCCCAGCAGCTCAAAAGGCAAAATCCATTCCTCTTCTGGAAGGCTTTTAATGTGAAAAGCACGAAGGAAGTGTTGTTTCAGAGGGTCATAACCTTCAGATACTTCCTGATATCAATAATAATTTTGACTTTTTTGTGCATCACCCGACCTGACACCTCAGAGCGCTGGTTCTGGGTCAGTCTCACCTGGCGGCCTTGCGGCTGTAGCTCTGACAGGTGTCCCAGGCGTCCAGTCTCCTCAGAGCGTGTTCGGCCTGCTGGCGGACGCTGCCCCCCCCCAGCACGGCGTGCAGCGCCCGGCAGTAGATGGACACGTACTCGGGCACTTTGGGGTGAGGATGGGTGAGCTTCACAAACTCAACTGCTGCTGAGACCTGAGGACAGAGTTCGGAGAGGAGGTGTGACACCTGGATCCTGGAGAACGTTTTGTTTTTGGGTTTAAATCTGACAGTGACGGCTGCGTCATGACACTCACAGCCTGCTCCTCATTGGCTGAGGTTGACAGCAGGATGAAGGGGAGGCTCATGGGAAGGCAGCCGATGGCGTCCAGCTGGCCGTCGGGGAACGAGGAGCTCAACTTGTGTTTGGAGCGTTTTTCTGCAAACGTCAGAACCTGGAGCACAAAGAGAACAGAGAACACAGAGAACCGGAGGAGTTAACCAGAAGACATGTGGAGTTAAAACCAGCTGAATGTGACGGGGTGCGTTTGTTTTACCTGATGTGGTGAGGTCGGTCTGCTCTCCTGCCAGTCGGCGAAGAAGGAGCGGTGGAAGGACTCGGCGTAGGTATCGTTGTGGGTGCCGGGCGTGGTCAGGAACTGGACGTAGTCTGACAGCACGGCGGCTCGAGCCTCCGGCTGAGAGACGTCGGTGAAACCTCCGCCGGTGAGGGAGCGAGCGGCTCGGAGGGAACAGAGGACGTTCAGGGTGTTATCACCGCCCTGAAGACCTGCAGTGACACACACAGGACAAATATTCAGCTTCATCACAAACATCTTCAGCACAGAAGGTTTAGATCAAACAATATGACTGAGTGGGACATTTCTGTCCTGATAATCAGACTTCAGACTTTAACCCTGAAGCGCAGCACAGACCGAAGGAGGTTCCATGAGTCCTTGTTTTTACATCTACAACTGAATTTCAGAAACACTGAGACATTAAAACTGGAACACGGGGGAGAACTACAACTCCTCTGTGGAGCCTCAGGATGGAGGAAGACGAGCTCAGCTCCAGGCAGTGAGCAGCAGTACCTTGGTGGTAGTGGACCGAGCCTCTGGACGACTTCCACAGGTTCAGTTTATGGTGCAGGATGACGTGACCGACCACATCCTGCCGCTTTGCACCGGACGACCAGGCGGTCCGACCGCTACCAGCTGCAACACACACATGAACTCATGATCACGACCTCTGACACAATAATGGTTTGTGGCTTCAGTAAAGAGTGGTACCGGTGTTGGAGAGGCTGAGGATGCTGGACGGGTGTCTGCTTCTGGGCGGGTTGAATCCTGATATCCAGTCTCCAAAGTCCCTCCTGATGTCGTGGGTGTCGTAGTACCAGTGGACCGGCATGGACATGGAGTCAGCCGCACACATGGCCCACATGGCCTCGCTCACCGCCCGGCGCACCTGAGACATCTCACCTGAGGAGGAGGGGCAGTTAAACTCTGAACAGTTTACATCAGGAAAAGACAAATGATTTTCTCCTCTAGTCACAATACTGCACTCAAAAGTTTAATGATTATTTAATTGTTTGTTTCTTTATTGATGAAATCTTTTATTTTATTTTATTTTTTAGAGACCTTCATAATAGAGTTCTGTTCTTCTAATGTTGTGTCAAACTCTTTATTGTAGTATATTTATATACAGGTATTATCTTGTATCCTTTGATCTTTGTAAGTGCTGTAAGTGTGGTATATAATAAAATAAGCTTTATCGTTATATTATGGACTTTCTGTTCATCGAGTAATCGATTAATCAGCTGATCTTTGCACATCTGCCTTCACTTGTAGCATGACTCAGCTCGATGGCAGAGGAGAAATTATAAAACATGAGCAGGTTCATTCAGTGACCACAGGTTCAGTCGCTATGTAAACTACACACGCATCAGTCTATAAGAAGTTCATGTTAAAGTCTGTGTTTTAATCAGATGAAGTCTCCTCACCTGTCATAGATCCAGTTGACCCGCAGCAGCTCTGTTCATAACAATTCACTTAAACTTGCATAAGTTAATTGTTACAAAACTATACAGGAAGTGACTAACGTGAACACCTTCAGGCTGAAGAAATGTTCGACATGCAGACCTCCCGTTAAAACCAGTAATGTAGCCAGTAAATGTTTCCTGACAAGCGATTATTTCATTGTATTTCTTTTACTCTGTATCTCACACCGCTGTAAAAACGGTTACGACACTAGAAATGTGTTTATATTGACATTTCGTAACCGGCGCTGTAGTACGGTGGCTAATGTAGGTCAATTCAAAAATTAAATCGCGTTTAGCCCTGAGCTTGGGCTCCCAGGCAGACACACGAAAAAAGATTTTATGAAGGCATTCTTTTTTTTATATTGACATAATTTATTTTTCTTTAACGAAAAGACTGTGACTAAGAACAAAAACTGTTTATTTCTTCTCCTTTTCCTCACCACTTATATTTCCCCATGACGTATTTATCTAAATTTATCTTAATTGTGTTTATTAATTATGGTTTTGCTTATATGTGAATACTTCTCTGTCTCTTCTCTGTTATTTTGTTCTATTGTTGAGACTTTTAAAAAGTTAGAAATTAAATTTACGGATGAAAAGGGTGCCTGAAAGACATAAACAAGGGTAAATTTTCCACAACACTATACGGTGGCCGTTATGCACCAATGTATCGCGAAAACATGAACCGGTTCATCACCACTGTTGGAAGTTTATGGTAGTCGATAGTGTTAACATATAAATTAAACGTTGAATTTTCAGTAAGCGGTGAAAAAACTTTAAATTATCCTGCTGGCGTTTATGTCACGCAAATTAGCAAATTAGCACTTAGCAACAGCGGTTAGCTCGAAGTAGTAGCGACTACACAGCCGAATGAATGAAAACTATATTATCTTAATTTCAGATGTAGCCTATATAAAGTTAAGTTACCTGTTGGTTTATATGTCTGTTTGGGTCGGGTAGAGTATTCGTTTAACTTTTCCCGCCGTTAAATCGCGGTGTGTTAAAGTTTACGTTTGTTGTTTATAGTTAGTGGGCTAAGCTAGCTGAGTGCTAGCAGGCTAATGTTTCTGTCTCCGCTGGACATGGAAGAAGAAGCGTTAGATGCACACGATGTTGGTAAGAAGAAGTGTTTTGATCTAATTAAGGGGTTTCAACAATATCTGCAGTCTCTGTGTTAATCTAGTCCAGATTAGACAAGTCTAGGTACGGTGGTTTTTGACCTAGACCTGGTCTGATGTGGACTAGCTGTGAAAAAGCAACCATTATAAAGGTTTCAGAAATCTGACACTGTGTTAATTATCTCTGTGTTAATCTTGGCCAGATTAGACAAATCTAGGTACGGTGGTTTTTGATCTGGATGATGAGGTCTGGATGATATGATCTGGATGTAGAAAAATAAGTGAAATTTACTATTTTCTCCACAAGAATTAAGTTCTGATTGAGCTGCAGCTGTCTGCTTGATTGTTTAATAAACCCAGTGAAGACACCATTTCTGTATCACCGACAGTTATTACAGAGGGAATCATTTTTATTAGTTAATAGAAATAATAATGAGAACTTGTCCTGTTTTGTGTTTCAGAACAGGCCAAGGCGTTCTGGGCTGGGGAGGATGTGGATCAGGCTTTTGATGGGGTCTTTGAGTATCTGAATCACCTCAAGAAAGTCCTGAAGAAGAACACGGCAACAGACAAAGGTTGGTCTTTTAATTTAAAAGTCTAACTCTTCTTCTGCTGTAATGAACAGGCTGTGATTGGTGTTTCCTGTTGTGATGTTGTTTGTAAATCAGAGCTGGTTCAGGCGTTGAAGGTTTTGGAGACTCTGGATTTGTCTGCTCCAGTCTCCAGTCAGGACGCCTCCGTGGTCCAGGTGGTCATCGGCTCAGGTAAACAGACTTTTATTCTGAAACTCTGCTGTGACAGTCACGCCAGGGTGTATTGAAGTGTTAGTTTTGTCTGTTTTCCTGCACAGGTCAGGTGCTGCTGCCGTCTGACTTCTCCCACCGCAGTCCCCCATCCCCCTCCTTCTCCTCCCCCTGTACCTCCCCCGCTGCTCCCTCTAACAGTCTGTCCAGCTCATCAGTGCCCCCCCCAGGCAGAGATGAGCTTCTGCCTCCTCTGTTGCCTGTCCAGCTGCAGTACCAGCCTCACCCCTGCTGCAAGGTAACACTGTGCTCCACACACAGGACACACAGAGATACGTTACTGGGGTGTGACTGAAGCTGTGCTGCTCACCAGTAACTCATCATGTGTAAATAAAGAGGAACGAGCTCTGAGAGACCATGACGTCTGGATGTTTGTCTGTTGAGTCTTTATAAGAACTGAGATGTTGTTCTCCCTCCAGGCCTGCCTCCCCAGTCTGTCCAGCATGCCCCAGTCCATGCCTCCGTTCTGGGGGCAGAACCCTCTGAAGGTGCCCCTGCTCTGTGGCTTCAAGAGGCTGAGCGCCATGCCGCTGGCATCACCGCGAGGAGGCGGGACCTGGGACAGCAAAGGGGTGGAGCCTGCGGTCTCAGAGGAGGTGGAGGAAGAAGCTGTAGAGGACTGGGATGTTGTTTACAAAGCGCCATGTGGACAGAGCCTCCGTAACCATGACGATGTGATGCGTTTCCTGTTAGCTTCGGAGAGCTATGACGTCCTGCAGGTCAGCTGATTTATCATGGTGCCTTCAGAGTCTGTCAGGAAACTTTCACCAAAAACAAAAATGTGAATGTGTTTTTCTTTCTCTTTCCTCCAGGTGGATTTCTTCACCTTTAACCCCTCTGTTCGGTTGGACCCCCCTGTGGTGCCGGGCCCTCGGCGTCCAGAGCTGGACCTGAGCCGCGGCTCGGAGCCTACGCCGGTGGAGCTGTGTGGTGGGGAGGGCGGTGCCCGGCCTGCCGACTTCCGCTACAGGAGGGACCGCTGGCCGCACGGCTGCTTCCTGAGCCGCAGCCCCATGCTGTTCGACACCTGCTGCGATTGCACCGACGGCTGCACCGACGCACAGCGCTGCACCTGCATCGCAATGACCAGAGGGGGGCGCTGCTACACCCATCACAGGCTGACTCAACCTGTAGCCTCAGGGTAGGACAATTAAAGACGGACACCAGATTGTCGCCTCAGGGACCGGGTCAGAAGTAAAACAGCACTTTACAGAGGGATGATGAGGTTCTGTTCGTACATTAATAAACAGGCGGCAGAAATCTGTAATTAATAATCAAACATTAGAAACGTAATTAGTTGATTGACTTTGAGCTTCTCCAGTGGGAATCTCTGGATTAACGACTTTAGTTGCTGAATGCAGACCATCACTTAACGAACCCCATCATCTTGTCCACATACTGTTGGCCATGTTGTATCGTAAAAGTTAAGTGTGTGTGTGTGTGTGTGTGTGTGTGTGTGTGTGTGTGTGTGTGTGTGTGTGTCTATGTGTGTGTGTGTGTGTGTGTCAGGCTGTATGAGTGTGGTCCATGGTGCAGTTGTGATCGGGCTCGTTGTCAGAACCGGCTGGTCCAGAGAGGGATCAGAATCCGGCTCCAGGTCTTCCAGACTGAAGACCGTGGCTGGGGTGTCCGTTGCCGTGACGACCTGGACCGTGGCACGTTTGTGTGCATCTACGCAGGTGAGACGACGTCGACATTCAGACAATCAAAGACTAAACTTGAGGTCATTAGTTAGACTGAAATCTGGTTTGTTGTTCAGGTGTGATCCTGCAGAGGGTCCAGAGTCCGGCCGAGCTCCCGCCCCCGAAGCTGACGAGGGCTGAGCTCCCGTCAGACGACGAGGTGGAGGTCGTCACCGAGTGGCTGGCCCCGCCGGTCCTGGAGGGGCGGAGCAAGCTGCTGGAGTCCCCACCGCCCTTGTCTCCGCCCAACTCACCCCCCCTGCACGTTCCAGTGATCCAGAGACCCGCTGACAGCAACAGCACCACCGCCGCAGTCCAGGACAGAGACAAGGTTCAGATCTGACCAGTGGCTGCTGGTCTCACTGGTCCATCATTTACCTCTGTGGAGACACTCCAACGTCATCAGTCATTAGATGGATGGATGGATAGATACATGTTGAACTCAGAGATAAACGAAAACTAAATAATGATGTTTTCTGTGGTCAGGGCCAGACGGTGTTGGTGGGAGGTCCAGAGGCGTCGTCTCCTTCAGCAGGTACAGCGGGTCGTATTATGATGATGTATTTATCTACTTTTCACATTAATCTATCAGATCAATACATTTTTCAAACCTTAGTTTTGTTAGAAATGATTGGATACTGTCCATCAGGTGACCAGTCTCAATCCAAGGAGAAGAACGATGCCACGCCCACAGCCAGCGTGAACGGCACCGAGAAGGAGACAAAAGAAAAAGAGAGGAAGAGTTTAAAGAGAGCGGCGACAGTGGAGGACGTTTATTTTCTGGACGCCAGCAAGGAGGGAAACGTGAGCCGCTTCATCAACGTGAGTAGACTGAAAACCAATAAAGAGATTATTAGGATAATTTTTGTTTTATAATTAAAAAAAACACAATGAATAAAAAGAAATAATGAGAAATTTTGACTCGTGAAATTCTGACTTTAATCTTTAAAGTATTTCATATTTTTTCTTTTTAGAAAGTATAACTTCATTCTTGTAAAGTCAACATCACGCTGTCATATAAAATTAAAGAGTAATAAACTGGAATTTATGAAATCCTTTTAATAGCCTTTGTAGAAAAAAACAATAATATTATTATAATATTGTTTTAATGTGGAAGTTTGATCCTTATTTTGACCCGGTCTCTGTGAACTACAGCACAGCTGCCGGCCGAACCTGTTCATCCAGAACATCTTCACCGACTCCCACGACCCTGGATTCCCCGTCATCGCCTTCTTCACCAACAGGTGAGGAAGAGGAGAACCAGGTGTTTGTAGTTTTTCTTTCATTGCGGTTGTTAATGAACGTTCTGTGTTTCTCTGTGCAGGGTGGTGAAGGCCGGCACTGAGTTAACCTGGAATTTCTCTTCCGACACACAAACTGCCTCGCTGCGGAAACAGGAAGTGCCCTGTCTCTGCGGTAGTAACGGTTGTCGAGGTCAGTTTACCATCAAGGAAAGCCTGTGTGATGTCTGCGAGGTCAAAGGTCAAGAAGCGATAAAGGCCAAGTGATCCCACAAACCAGGTTCAGACACTCCAGCTGACATCCACAAATATACATTTTTATACTATTGTGATGTAGTAAAACGGTTTAAAAAACTTTTTCTAAATAAAAGAACTGAATTTAAGAAATTAATTTAATCTGTTTTATTTTGAAACATTATAGTGTGTGTTTGGTTTTATTTCATTCAGTGTATTTTACTTCTGTTGAAATGTGACTTGAAATCAGAGTTCTGGGAAAAAGGCTTTTATTTTGAAACTTGATTTCAGACGTAGAAATGTACGACACATTTTAATGTGACTTACCAGCAATTTAGAACTATAATGCATTTTGGGAATTCTCACTTTAATATTTATGTGGCGTTAAAGCTTTTATTTTGAGAGTACAATGCGACGTTGGCCAGGAAGGACTTGCTTTTATTTTGAAACTCCAGACCGGATCTCCGTATGTTGTTTATATTCCGTTTCACCGACTGTCCTTCGAACACTGAATCCGAAAATGAGCGCTGTTCTGCGGGCTGCGTGCGTGCTCCTCCTCGGCCTCCTCTGGGCCTCCGTCTCCCCGTCCTCCTCCTGTCGGGTCCGGATCCCGCCTCACGACCAGGTGGCCCGGGTCGCCCGCTTTATCGCCCACACGTGCGACTGGGCTTCCATGGCCACCATCTCCACCCACAAGCCGGTGGTGGGCCAGCCGTTCTCCAACGCTTTCTCGGTGAGCGACGGGCCGGAGGGCTCCAGCTCCGGGGTGCCCTACATGTACCTGACCCGCATGGAGATCTCCGTGCAGGACCTGGAGGTAGGAGTCCTGTAGTTCATGTTACTGTGTGTAGTTTCTAACTGTCTCAGAAAGTATCATTAGACTAACTGAAAACTTAATAATTTAACCCCTTATCTCTGTAATATTTCTGCAGAAGTCTCGGGTCATAGAACCTTTGTCTCCCGTCCTGTTGCTATAATGTGTTTGGGTTTATTTATAATTACATTTAAATGTCTGACTTCTGTAAAATAACACAAAATCTGTAAAAACTTATGTAAACATCTGGTTTAGGATTTATGCAACAGCAGTTTCTACCATGATGCAGCACTTTTTACACAGAGTGACTCAGCAGTTTTGGAGTTAAAGTCACATGTTGGTGTCTGTCACATGATGGCAGGAACACAGCACAGGAGATGTATGAGGTTTATTAGACTGTTAATGATTTAAAAGTCACAGAAAAGACATAAAGGTTTTTAATAAGTCTTTAGTTAGTTATAAAAGTTATGTTAAACTTTTATTCTGTCTTTAAAGAGGAGGGTCAAAGGTCAGAGTGATGTCTTATGACAACATGAGCTTAAACAACAAAGACAGAGATTCAAGTGAGAGAGTGCGAAAGATCCTATGACCTGGTTTCAGGTCAGTGTTGTGAGCTATAATAAAACTATGAACTATAATAAGTATAATAAGCTCCTCCTCCCTGCAGGTGAACCCTGAGGCGTCTCTGTCCATGTCTCTGGCTCAGACTGATTACTGCAGACAGCAGGGCTTCGACCCTCAGAGTCCTCTCTGTGCCCACATCATCCTGTCTGGATCTGTTGTCGAGGTAACAAATACACACACCTGCTACCACCTCTGTGTCCAGGTGCTACAGTCTGAGCAGTCACATGACCCGCTCCCCCTCCTCTCCCTCCTGTTGTCCAGGTGAACGGGACGGAGGCGGGGTTTGCTAAGAAAGCTCTGTTCAGTCGACACCCGGAGATGATCGACTGGCCGTCTGATCACAACTGGTTCTTCGCCAAGTTCAACATCACACAGGTAAAAGGACACACAGGTTCGACATCATCACTGTTTTCAGCCAATCAGACGGCAGGAAGTCTCGTTAACGTACCCCCCCTCCTCCTTCGTGTTACAGGTGTGGGTGTTGGATTATTTTGGCGGGGTGAAGACCGTCACTCCAGAGGAATATTTCCAGGCCTCACCGTACAGGAAGCACCACTGACGGTCAGAGCTGCTGGTCTCTGTAGTCCTAAATGTTCCATTTGTAGTTCTACAAGTTTCAGATTTAACAAAGTAAATTTTTATCAAATTGCTTAACAGTTCATCAGATGATAAGTTCCATCTCATTTGTTTTTTATTAATATTTTTCATTATTTCCACTTCTCATAAATATATTTCAGTTTGCTAAAATTAAACTTTGATTTATTTTAAATTAAATCATCTTTGAATCATCGTAGAAGAACAGTAGACACACATTTTCTCATAAATCAAGAAAAATAATAAAAAATAAAATAAAATTCTTTAATTAATACAACATTAGGCGTTTACTATTTTACTATTATTTACTTTAAAATGACTGCAGGAGTTCATAAAACAGTGAGGAAGATGCCTATTCTTATATATACTCTATAATCTTATGATAATCCAAATCACAGTATTGGAAAAAATCAATCAGCAGTGCAGTGGTTCTTATAGACTGATTGATCAATTTATTATTTTTTAGTTTATATTATATTTTGAGAAGAAAATATTTTCCTACCTTCAACAATAATTCTCTGGTTTCTGCTGATCAAAGTTAGAAATGATAAATGTGTGATTATATATATATTTATGTGTGCACAGTGTAGTTGTGTCATACAGAAGATGACAGTTGCAGTATTGGAGTTTGGCCACTGGATGGCGCCATGGTGCAGATAATCAAACTCAAACATTCATAATGTAATTACATATTCCATAGACAGACATTAAAAACTGAACGACGCTGATTCAATTTTAACTTTCTTCTTTCGAAGTTTGAAAATCGCAACAATTGAAGTTGAAAATGAAATGAAATAAACGTACATCTGCACCTTTTTACACTTTTACTGGAACAGGAAACACTTATACTTATATAGTATACTTATTATACATGTTTTTCTTTTTCTTTCTTTGGTTTTGTGTCTCCATGCAGCTCAACACACCAAACTCCAGTCAATCAAACAAAGATTTAAGGAGTGTGATTTGATGAGCTTTGCACTGGAAACCTCCTGTTGTTCTTGTCTTTGCTGTGACAACAAACTGCACTTTATATTAGAATCAGCAGAATCAAAATGAATCTTTTAAACTAGGAAAAGTTTAATTATTAGATCACAGTCACACTCAAACTTTACTGTCTCGTTAGGGCAGGAAATTTGACACAAATAAACACGACACATTGAAATAGAGATTTTTTATTGGTGGGAACTGATAATAATCTAAAGTGGCTTCTACATTGAATGTATTTATTTAGGATTAGGCTTATTAAGTCTTCATTATACTTTCAGTTTTAGTCAGAGTGGTGGGGGTGGGGTCGTAAACTGGCGCTCGAATGCCACTGTGATACCATATCAATAACTTTGTGTGACGCCTTAAACGTCTCGTTACACTCCAGTAACGATTCTCTGCTCCTTCATGCCGAAGAGGAACATTTGCCTTTAAAATAACTTGAAGACTTTGCTGTGAAATTTTATTTTTTTGAGACAATATTAATGGATGATTTGTATAAATAAAGTTTTGTGTTACAAAAACAGATGGCGCCGCTTTTTCTGTGTTGTATTTTTCTTTTTTTTAAATGTAGTGAAACTGAGTTTTAACCCATGATAATATATATGTCTAAAGATCCAGTATGTCCCATACCAACATGATTTAGTTTTATCTTCTTTTCATCGCTATGAATCTTCCTGCGACCGACCAGGTTTATCCTGAGACCCCTCTGAGGTCCTGACCCACAGTTTCGGGATCTTTTTACCAAACTAAATGTAAAATATTCAATACTTTAAGTCAAGTCGAGTTATTTTTATTTAGTAGCTCAAAATCTATTTCAGTTAGTTCAAAGCTGAACCTCCTCCTCCTCCTCCTCAGTTTGGTTCATATTAAGATTTTTAAGATTTGCTAAAACATCAAAAAACAAATGAACAAACACGAAAAACTGAATTATTTTTCCACATGTACAAAGACTGTTCATGTGTGGGAGAAAGATTCGTATACGTAGAGAATGATTGTGTCACCTGGCACAGCAGCTCCTCACCACTTCCTGTTCCACTTTAAGGCGGCAGAGGAAGACAGAAGTTTGGTTCAGTCGTCTTGCGTCGACGCCGGAGCCTGAGACCAGTTCGAAGAAGAAGAAGAAGAAGAAACGTGTTCTGGGGAAACCACTTTAGGATGGAGCTCCGGACATGGACATCTGGCCTGCTGGTCCTCGCGTCGGTGTTTGCCCCGGCAGGTAGGACTCCTCACTCACACACACCTGAACACAAACTCTTTACCTACACAGTCACCAACGAGGGGCTCCACAGATTCACTGACGTCCCCTCTGATCGTTTAGATGTCATAATAAAAACAGAACAAACAAAGCATCAATTCAACAATTCAGATTTAAATATCTTGATGAATTCTGTCGTTTTTCCAAAAAATTGAGAAATGTTGTTTTTAAGTCGATGATGCATTTTTCAAGATAATCAGGTTTGTTTAAAGCGTTTCATGAGTGTCGAAGATTTTTCTCTGAGCGTACAAAGAAGCTTGAAACCAACTGATCTGCAAATATAAAAAAAATCTCCAAATATAATGTAGATGTGTGGTTTTAATGGACGTCGACAAAAAGCCGACCCCTCAGCATCTTTGAGGATATATTTAACTCTGTGTGAGAAAATTCTAAAGGTTTTAACGGCAGACAATGACAAACCAGAGAAGAAGAACACAGGGTGGAGAAGCTTCTCTCTGGCAGCCATGTTGGATGGTCTGCTGGTTGTGTTTGACTCCGTCTTCATAGATTTACACAGTTCATTTATTTCAGTTTTTATCGAGGAACCTGATTATTGTTTTGATCCAGCTGATAGATGTAGTTAGCCATTAGCTACTTAAGCTAACTTTGGAAGTAATGTGCCGTTGTTAACACGTCTGATTAGCACGTTAGCTAACAGGTGGATGAGCATCAACACAAGGACTAAACAAAGATGCACCACTCCCCAGGGGTTTGTGGGTTTTCAGTCCCTCTTTGCTAACAGTTAGCTTACAACAGGTAAAGCTAATATTTAGATTTTTACTTCCTGTCTGAGCATCTGAGAAAAGATGCTGAATTTCAGATGTGTTTTTAAAAAAAGTCAGAATAACAAATAAACATGAACTCAGCTACGTGCTAATGTTATCTGGACCTACAGATACAAACAGGCAACATGCTTCTTGTAGATGTTTTGCTTTGTTTGTGCAACTATACTTTCTTTACTTTCCTACTTCGTTAAGAGATAACTTGGTAAATCCAGAACATTTCTATACTCTTAACTTTTGTTGATAAAACTCAGCATCTGACCTTTGAGCCAGTCACGAGCCTGTGAAACGACAAGTTTGGCACGATTAGGCGTCACTGAACGTGGTGAACCAGATGGAGAAGTGTGTTCTCCAGTAACTTGAACAGGTCAGTGGTTAAACCAGTATTTGTGGCCAACAGGACCAGTATAAGCTTCACCCCATGAAGGGGCAGTTCAACCATCATCAACCCATGGTGGGTTTTTCCCCGTTGACCAGTTACATGAAGCTGGCTGAAGCGCGTGACTTCCTGCAGCTCGTGAACCAGCTCGATAATATGAAAAGACCAGTTCCCACCAACTGGAGTTTATACTGTTAAATACCAGTTCAGACCATCAGTTTGAACCATGTAAAGTTTAGGTGTTAATTATAAGTTTTGATGATTAAAAACCAGTTTAAATGATTAAAAGACCAGTTGCTTTTCTACCTTATAAAATAAATAAAGATTTCAGGCAGTCGCACTGTGTGAACAGCAGCAGCAGTCAGAACGTATCACGTCTGAGAATTGGAGGCAGATCATTATAATTTTCTTCACAGTGTTTCAACAGAGCGACTAAAGGTTTGAACTTGGGGACGTCGTCATGACCGCAACACGATTGCCTCCATTTTAGGAACTGATGCAGCGCAGTGTTTCATAAACCGATGATTTATATTCTCACATTCAGATGTATACAGATGTATTTACAGATGTTTTTTCAGGTGTATTTAAATGTCATTTTGTAGTAATATTATTTAAATACAAATATATTCAAAATGAAAATGGATTTTTACTTTGGATATGATCCGGAAAGGTCCTCAAAATATAAAAACCTTGAAACTCTCATTCCTTTAAACGCAGCTCTAAAGTGAGAAGTTAGAGTTTTATTTTCAATGATATTCGTTTTTGAGGCAGAACTTTGTCTCCTGAATCTAGAGTTAAGCCTTAAAATCAATAAAAGATTTTTAAAAAAAGTATAAATCTGTTTTGGCCCCTGATAAACAGATTGAAGAAGCTTTGGCATCAAGTTGTAGGAGTCCGTAGCTTAAAGATAAAAAATGCTCCGTCCTGTGATACAGTCGTTCTCATGTAAATGAATGCTGATTGAAAGGTTGTGTAATGCTGCGGCTCTGTTCTGTGGAGGGAAGAACATTAATTGACCACAAAGAGTGAACCCCCCCACCACCACCACCATCCTGCTCTGAACTCAGGAAGCAGCTTTGTGGTTGTTTGAGCTGTGACCCCATCCCAAACTACTTCAGCTCGGTGTGGTCACACTGTCACAGAGGTTGCCGTGGCAACAGAGATGCCCCTCACACTGAGACCACCTCAGAAAAAAACTGAAGAAACATGCTGTTCACAGCAGAAACTATGACTCGTGAAATATCTACCGCGAAACCCGTTTCTCAGCCCGGCGGCCATCTTTGATAGAGCTGCAGCAGAAGGAGGGAAACGAAATGAAAACGGTGTAAAGGGGTGAACCGGGTTGGCAGGAAAAGAAAGAGAAAGCAGAGGGGAAGAGAGTCGACATGTCTGCACAGAGGGCGGCGAGGTGTCCTGGATTCTGTCTCAGGTGTTCAGGAGCAAACTGTCGACTCTGAAACCACAGCGACACTTTGACACCAGCTCTGGATGCTGGGAGTTGTTTTCGTCAAACGGCCTCCATCAGATAAAGATGAAATAATATCTGTCATCTCGGAGATAAATCCCATGTGAACATCAGGAAGTGACCTTAAGGGTTCTGGTGTTCAGAAGTTAGAAGGCGGAGTCACGATACATGGATGTTGTTGTGCAACATCAGATGTTTAGGTGGAAAACCAACATGGTGTTAATCTGTTCAGCTCAGCTCAAACATTATCTGGTTCTGTTTCCTCCAACACGTCCGTACTGTCGTTTAGAAGCAGGGTTTGTCTGTTGTTGTGTTTCCTGATGCGACAGAGAAGGAGACGGAAAAGATTTGCTCAGGGTTCGTTAATAATAATCACTTTATTTATAGCACAAAGTCACAAAGAGCTTTACAAGAAAAAGGTAAAACCAGATGAAAGAAAAGTCCAAAGAACCTGAGCAATAAAATATGCAAAAACAATAATTAGGGATAAAACAATATAAATTAAACACGTGTCAAACAGAAAAGGCTGAGACAGAGAAATGTGTTTTAAGAAGAGATTTAAAGGAAGTTAATGACGGCCTCTGATCTCAGAGTGTCGGGGCTCGAACAGCGAACACAAACCATGACCTGAGGGACCAGCAGCCCTCCTCCTGCAGATCTCAGATCTCTGTTCGGCACATACCATGTCAATAAATCAGAGATGTCATTTAAAGCCTTAAAAGTCAACAATAGAATTTTAAAATCAATCTGAAATCTAACAGGGAGGCGAGCGCCGGAGTCATGTGACTGTTCCTGTACGAGCAGCGGTTTACCTGCTGAAGACGAAGCTGAATAAAATCCGTTACATTAATCAAGCCAAGAATAAATAAAAGCATGTGTAACTTTTTGAAGGTTAATGAATCTGGCTACTTTAGCAACAGGGATCCAAGAGAGAAGCGGCCATCGAAGCCCAGCATCAACCTGTGAGCATGAAGTGGCAGGTTGTGGTTGACATGTAGCGTGAGTGTGATCAGGACCAGACCAGACCAGACCAGACTATGTGAGCAGGGTCAGGTATCTGACTGAACCTGATGTGATGTGTGAAACCGTACACAACATCTGTATCAGGGTGTTGAAGTGAGGTTGTTCTCTCTATTGTCTCAGTTTGATCGGCGTGGAGCTGAAATGGTTCTTCCCCAAAACAAAAAAAAATCACGTTTCAGCTTCTCAGAGAGAAAATACATTTAGCCACAGATGCTCTGAGGCCACACCCCTTTCTTTGGGGATTTTCTAAAGGCATTCTGGGAAGGGGGACGTAACGAAGTAGGTGAAAAAATGTGTTCATGAAAAATTGAATTAAAATACTTTGACACTAAATGTGTCAGGTAACTTCTCTGAGAAACACGACGCTGTAGCTTCAAAGTGGCTGAGTCTTTATTAAAGACCACCAGAGACGCTTTTATTCTGGCAGTTTCATTCAGGAAGCTGCTCAGTGTGTGAAGGAGGAAATCATTCAACAGGTGCCAAACACCAAAATAAGCAGTTTAATAAAGTGCTTACACTGTTTCCTCTCGACCCTTTTAACCTGTTTGTGACTGTTTCCAGGCTGATTACACAACACACACACACACACACACACACACACACACACACACACACAACACACACAACACAGTGGAAAACTGACAAAGACAAATATTTGCCTGAAGCTTGTGTTTCTGAATGAATCCACTGAAACTCTATAGAAGTACATATCAAACACACACACACACACACACACACACACACACACACACACACACACCATCCATCTCCACATGAAACACTGACGTCACACTCGTGTTTCCATGTGTCTGGTGGTTGGCCCTGACAGTAAACATGTAGTTTAATTGTTCCTGTAATGTCGGATCAATGAGCGGCTCTCTGTGTTTTCATGCAGTCTGTTTGGATCAATGCTCATTATATCTGTTATTGATCAATCAGTTAATCGTTTGATCATCGGCCTTAAACCTAAACATGTTCAGTTTCCATCATCTTCGTTTCTGAGAAGCTGGAACAAACACGTTTTGATGAATTGATTTCAGCTGCATTCATCGTTAAATGTGGTGCGTTCAGGGACGTTCGGACATGTAGGAGAGATTTACTGACGTTATGATGGAAAACTGTGCTAATTGTTGGAGGAGTTTTCTTTTTTTTCTTTGACTGGAAATGAGCTGTGACTGTCGTTAGTTTGCATCTGTGATGAGTCACAAACAATCATGATAATTATGAAAACATGTGATGAAGCTTTCCATCGATCTCATCAGTCGATTCCTGAAAAGAGTGACGGCGTGTTACAGTTGAATGAAGCTTCAGTGGAAACTAACGAGTTAATCTGCTCCGGTTCTCCACGTCTATAACAGGACATAAACTCAGACTTCAGCTGTGGAATAAAATCAGATCATTACAGAGCTGTGACATGTAATCACTTTATTAGGAACACAGTCTAGTGCAACAGTAGATCCAAACTGCTGCTTTTATTTTGACCTTTTACTGTAAATTTAGGTTAAATGTTCATTTTTATATCGTTCCACTTAACGTCTATTTTCCTTATCAATTAACCTGCCGATTCATTTTTCAATTCATTCGTTCGTCAATAAAAAGTCATGAAATAGTTCAAAATGTAGAAGATATTTCCAGAGTTGGAGGAGACGTCTTTAAATATCTGGTTCTGTCGGAGCAGCAAATGAAAACACCAACATTTTCATTGAGCTATTGTTTTACCGTCACTACCAGCTCTGATTATTGATACGATTAATATTAGAGAAACAGCTGATAGATTAAAGGTTACAGAGACAATATTCCTTGTATTTTTACCGCCTGTGAAACCGGTTGATCGACAGTGAAACGTTACGACTCTTGTTTTCTGTTGAAATCCTCGTTCGGTCACGTTTTACTTTTCCTTCATTTCAGTTCAGGGGAAAAATTTTTACCTTCTACTTTATTTCATTTCTACATGTTGCATCATGCAGCCACGTTTACTGCCAGTTGCTCTTAGTACTGGGAGCGCCGTGTCATAGTGACCCTTTAATTATTGTTCATTTTTTCAGTTAGTTACATTATTTAGACTGACAACAGTTACACAATGAAAAATACAGCAGATGAGTATTAGAGGAAGTTTAGCTGAAGATCATTTGTTGCTTCGTCATTGCTTCAGTCTGAGAGAGTGTGTTAGTTTGTATGAATGTGTCTTAGTGTGTGTACTGTAAGTTATAATATGAAGGTTTACAATATTACATATATATATATATATATATAGTACTGGTCCCAGCACTGTGCTGTTAGCAGCAGCAGTAACTCTCACCGTCGCATCAGCGTCTTCATGTTTAACCAACACGAGAGAATGATGAAAGACTGAGAAGAAGGTAGATAATGTAATATAATGTATAATGTTTATACTTAGTGCAAAAAGTCCAGAAAAAAATCTCTTTTTACTCATTTGACACAATAATGAACCTTTAACTCGAGTCTAGAGCGTTTAGTTTGTGTCACATCTGACACACGCCTGAAAGAATATTTGATTTTAAGCTTTCAAGAGTGAATATATTTATATATATATATTATATATTATATATAACTTTTTGCATTAAGTATAAACATTATACATTATATTACATTATCCTTCTTCTCAGTGTTTCATCATTCTCTCGTGTTGGTTAAACGTGAAGACGCTGATGCGACGGTGAAAGTTACTGCTGCTGCTAACAGCTCAGTGCTGGGACCAGTACTCACACCTTCACTTAAATGAATATAGTAATACTACACTGTAAAAATACTCTTACATGAGGTATTAAAAATGGCCCATGTTCTGTTATTATGATATTTACTGGATTATTATTCATGATGATTAACATGTAAACAGCTTTGTAATGTTGCAGGTAGTTTAAATTATTTTACATATTTTTGTGCAGTTGAATCTATAGAAATGTATTTTATAAGGTGATCTTATGTTTTTTGTGCATGATGTTAATGTGTAGATAAACGACAGACGTCAGGTAAATGTAGCGCAGCAAAAAAGTACAATATTGTCCCTTAGAAGTTTTTATAAAGTATAAAATGGCACAAAGTGGAAACACTGAAGTGAAAATCCTTTTAGAATAAATATTTATCAGAGAATATTTCACAGCACTGAAACACTGAACAGCTACAACCTTTAATAAAAATCCTTCTTCTGTGGAAGGAACTATTCTGAAATATTCAGTAAAAATAATAATAACACAATGTAAAAATACTCTGTTACAAGTAAAGTCATTGAAAATCTGACTTAATACAAACGTATTGAATCATGAAGAATTAAACTTGATTTGAGAAAATACCTGAAACAATATTTTTACATGGAATATTTTTTACAGCGCTGGTGTGACTAAAAATTAAAGAATCAATTATGAACTGAAATCTAATATATGGAGATTTTTTTCAGGGAACAGTTGCATCATAATTTTAAAGGCGGTCGTTTGTTTTTAATCGTTTCACGGAGCAGTAAAAAGTGCAGTAATACAACATTGAAATGTTGTAGTACTAGTACAACTTGACGAAGTAGTCAGACTCCACCATGTTACTGGTTCGTAGACTCTTTATTTGTTTCAGTCTGAAACTGAGTTTTGTTGCTGAAACCTAAAGTGAACTTTTTTAAAGGACGTCTGCTGTGAGTTAGGGTTAGGGTTAACCTGAGCGCTCATGTGTTTTTACTGCTGCTGCGTTACATTATGACTCTGACTGCTGCACTAACATTTTCATTTTACATCAAAGATATATGAGGAAAAAAATATAAAATGTCATTTCTAATCCTCTCAAACTGACAAGTTAAATTTGGTCGTGGCGTTCTGAATAAAACTTCTCTTCAGTCTGGGTCAGATCTGGATGTGTGTTTGAAACAGAGCCGATCATGTGCATGTGAAACTCACCACGCTACGTTTATCAGATTACCAGCCGCCTCAACCACACACACACACACACACTGACTTCCTGTTGTGTTTATATTTGGTCCAATATTTTTTGTTATCTGACCAGATGTGCTGTTTGAGCCCCCAGCACTGATGCAGACTGGAGATACTGACGTTAACATGAAACTAGTGCTTTTACACCCTCGTTTCCATGGCAACGAGCGCAAGCGAGCAAGGCAACTGATGTTGTGATATCCGAGAAGGAGGATTATTCTTATTGAATCATGAGGACGCTGAAGGACGTCGGCTGAAAGTTTTATATATATTTTATTTATTCTAAAGTACATTACAGTTTTAGTAGTAATTAATAAACGTGCAGATCAGTGAGTTTGGATTTTAATATACGGAGGAAAAAAACATCCTCAGACCAAAGCTGATGTCAGTGTTTATCAGACTGAAGGAGGAAGAGGAACCCAGAGTTCAGTAGATCAACAGATTCCTGGAAACTCAACATGAGGAGGAGGAAGAGGAGGTAGAGGAGGTAGAGGAGGAAGAGGAGGTAGAGGAGGAAGAGGAGGTAGAGGTAGAAGAGGAGGAAGAGGAGGTAGAGGAGGAAGAGGAGGAAGAGGAGGAAGAGGAGGAAGAGGAGGTAGAGGAGGAAGAGGAGGTAGAGGAGGTAGAGGAGGAAGAGGAGGAAGAGGAGGAAGAGGAGGAAGAGGAGGGTCTTTCACCACAAAGATAAAACTGTAAACCTCAGTGAATGTAACTGTAACACTCAGAAATCATTGTTCATAGAATTTTGTGTGTGTGTGTGTGTGTGTGTGTGTGTGTGTGTGTGTGTGTGTGTGTGAGATCAGATTGATCATTGATAATTAACTCATTCAGTGTTTGTTTCATGGTTCCAGTTTCTTAACTGTGAGAATTTGCTGCTTTTCCTTTTGATATTTTAAAATTATTTAGAATAATTTTGTTTCAGACAAAACAAACTAATAAACAACGTTTCTGAAGTTTTACAACCCAAACAATCAATCGGTTAATCCAGAAACTGATCAGCAGATTAATCCATAATAAAAAATAATCAGCAGTAAAATGCTGTTTACCAATTAATGTAAAGAGTTACATTATATATTGATTAGATATTAATCTGCAGCAGTAACACTCACATGTTTCTGCATGAAGAGCTTTTACTTTAAGTTCAGTCAGACTTAAAATGCAGAGAAGATTGATTGACTTATTAATGGATTGATTGATTTTGGTCTTTAAGTTTAAAAAAAGACAAAGACAGTGACTGACACATAGACACATGCATGACACAGTATATATTCACATGTACAAACTGTGTGACATGATGCAGTTTGTACATGTGAATATATACTGCACTGTGAGGAGGTGTCGGATCATCCCTCGCTTCAGTCAGTGAAGAAAACATTTAGACTGAAGGTGAATAACCTCAGGTCTCCGTGGAAGCTCTTTAAATAAAGTTTAAATCAAGTTTAAATCAAGTTTAAATAAAGTTTAAATAAAGTTTAAATCAAGTTTAAATAAAGTTTCTGTGAGTTTGAATCAAATTTGTACAGAAGGAGACGAGTCTAAGCTCTGACCTGTTTGGATGTTTAATGAGACTCTGAGGTCAGGCGCTTCTTTCAGTTTTACTAGCACAAACACACACACACACACACACACACACACATATACACACACCCACACTGAACCACACATGAACACACACCTGTTAATGGAGCCACAGCGAGCGCTCGGCAGCAGCTGAGGAAACCACTGAGCTCCATCACACACATTCACACACATTCACTCACTGCAGCAACACACCGAGTCTCAGCAACAGCTTTTATTTACACAGTGTGAACGACAGAGACCCAATATCCTCACAACTCAGGAACACACATCCAAACGCACCCAGTTTCATCACAGCAGGGACGGATCCTGAGTCCAGCTCAGGTGGTGCTGGGTAACGAGGCTGGTCATCAGCTGGTCATCAGCTGCTCCCGTTAACGACATGATCACACAACTAGAACACACCACAAATCATTTACAAACGTCAAAGCGTTGACACCAGCTGCTGCTTTTATATTGACCGTGAATCTGTACAGTGTGTGTCTGACCTTTGACCTGTGACCTCCACAGAGGCAATGCCGCTGTACGACCCACAGCTGTGTTACATCCTGGACGGCTTCCTCGGCCTGTACGGCCTCATCATCACCGGGATGTTCATCAAAGAGCGGGTCTGTAGCACTCTCTGTTTCCTTTAATTATTTTCATTTCATTCAGTTTAATTCCCTGAAAAAATCTGAACTCACAGGTTTAGATTCAGTGTGACATCACTTCCTGAGGATGTCATTATGTCTGATGTCCCTCCACAATAAAGCTCCAGAAATCCACTTAGAAACCAGAGAAACAGAAGTTCACTGAGAATGTTTTTAAGTTTCCTTCAGTGCCACAGTGATCCAGTGACAGTTGTCTGAACATCCATGACACACTGCAGACAGGAAGTGATTAATAGCTGATTCAGCTGCTGTTAATGAGACAGTTTGACTCGATATAAACAGATTCAGGCTAAAAACTGGGGCTCAAGTTGTAGCTCACAGTGAATTCACAGCAACACCGAGACTTAAAATCCTCCATGTAAGAACCATCGCAGCGGTTTGTCTTTAACCCACAGCTCACTAACTATTATTAACCTTTCTCTGTAGTTCTTCAAAACCAAAGCGAAGTCAACAGAGGAGGCCATCTACAGCGTGAGTCACTATATTACTTCCTGTTTTAACTTTGACTTTAAGGCCGAGTCTCTCCTGGTCTTAACATGTCTTTAAAAAAAGCTTTGATTTCAGTTTGATAGAAGAAGCAGTTAATGAGAAAACACACTGAGACAATCAGGATTATAAAGTGTGTGTGTGTGTGTGTGTGTGTGTGTGTGTGTGTGTGTGTGTGTTTAGGATCTGAAAGGTCAGGACACCGATGGTTACGCCCCGCTGATGATGAGAGACCCCGAGAGAGGAAGAGTGAGTCTGACGATGATGGATTTCATCTTTATACCTGTTTTTAATTCATCCTGAGGAACCCCTGAGAACTCTAGAGAACATTATGAAAGAACCCTGCAGAACGTTTCAGTCCAGATGAACCAGGAAACAGTCAGTTTCTTTTAGAACCTCATGTATTAAAACTCTGTAACTCCTTGCTGTTCTTACAGAACCGCCGGGTGACGGAAGACTCCACCTACACGGTAACAAACAGTCCTTTTGTACAACTTTATTTTTTCTTTTGCTTCATGGTTAATTTATTTATTAAAATATTTTTATAATAATATATATAATAATATATATTTTCTGTCATGCATTTTAAAAATAACAGTTGTAAAACTGTATGTATATAATATATATAATATGTATATAATACACAGTGTATAATGTTTTCTTTATATCCAGGGTTTGACCAAACGCACAGAAGGAGAATATAAAGAACTTCCTGTTAAAAAAGAGGTGAGAGTATCAAACTAACAACATCTGGATCTGTGACAAAACCAGATTCATTCATTCTTGTTGAATTATATTTAAAACTTATGTATTAAATTCTATTAACTTTGATCAGAAGAAGAATTCCAGTCAGTTACTGCAGTAAAAGTACCAACAGCACATCACAGAAATACTCCATTAAAAGTAAAAGTACTGAAGTATTGTCAACAAAATACATGAAAGGTGTATTAATTACATCATTAATTTCAATTAACATGTGATCAGTAATTTAATGTTGTAGAATCTAATTCTAACATTACCTCATTTACTGTTGGTCCTTTAATCTTTAATCATTCATCATATTTTATCAAATGATCAGATGTAAAATCTTATTGTGAAAAGTCACTAGTGACCAAAGCTGCAGTAAAAAGTACATTTCCCTCTGAAGTATAAAGACACTCACGTAATAAACTGCAGCACAGTACTTGAGTTAATGTATTTAGTTACTTTATTCTTTTATTTTCTTTATTTCCGTTAACAGAATTATCATTTTTAAATGTATTATAAATATTTGTTTCTCCTTTTTTCCTGCAGCGTCAGAGGAAGAACGAGCAGGTTTACCAGGTGAGTGGAGAATATTTATATTATATATATATATTATTAATTGACTCATTGATTATTAAACAACTTCCCTTCTCGTCAGGGTCTGAGCTCGGCCACCAGAGACACCTACGACTCTCTGCAGATGCAGCAGCTTCCCGCTCGTTAACTCAGGGGTCATCAGACTTTTCCCTCCGCCACCTCTCTTCCTGTCAGCCTCAACACACTGACGTCTGTTTCTTGGAAAATGATTTGGCTGAAGTTGTTGTTTAATGACGACAGACTGGAAACAGTTTGACTTTGATTTGATAGATTTAATGGTTGAGATGTGAACATGAGTCTGAAACACTTCTCATTGGTTTAGGTTCATTTTTTATGACAGTTTATCATCTTGTTGATCCGTATTTAGATGTTTGAGAGGTTTTAATATCACACGTGGCTCTGTTTGAAAAGTCACTATTTTTCCTTTTTCACTTTGAGAAAAACATCAGAAATGTAACACAGATCTCTTCTCTGTCCTCTCATTTGTTCATTTTGATTGATTTATTCCCAGCTGTGATTTCACTGAGATTATGATCGACAGGATAGGAAACAGGAAACAAACATGTTGTACTGTATTTTGATCAACTTGATCCTCTCTGAACTTTTCTCTTCACCAAAACAGACACAGACCTCACAGCAGTGACATTACTGTAAAAGTAAAATTGACTTTCCAAAGCAAAAGTGTGTACACCTGTTAATTTAGAGCAGCAGAAATCAGGTGACCGCCTCGTTATGTCGAACACGCCCCCACCCACTCAACCTGACTCACCCTTTAGGGAGAAGCAACAAGACTAGAGCTTGGTTGATATTAGAGGAGTTACTTTCCACTGTTGTTTTGTATATAGCAAGATGTAAAATAATAGGAAACCAAGCCAAGTGATTCTGCAGATGAAGCAACATGTAAAGGCTGCAGTGGTTTGAGTTTCACTCTGTTCTATATTTTTTACACTCATCTTAAAATCTGGAGAATCTGAAATCAAATGAAGACTTAAAGCTGTTCTGTATGGAGCCCCTAAGTGTTTAATATTTTATAAATGAATATAAAAAAGCTCATTATAGTTAAGTTCTTTTTTCTATGATTTTAGCTGCATTGTTATGGAACCTCAAATAATAATTGATAACGATAATAATTATAATAATCTTTTAAAATTTGCCTCATTAATGTGAAATATTCCCTTGTCCTGCTTCTTTTCACAATAAAATCATTTTATTTCAGCTTGTTTTTATTTAATACCAAGTTTTTAAGTCAAAATTATTTTTTTTCAGATGAATATTTTTAATTCATGAAGCCAAAAAAAGGCAGAGCTGCTTATGTGATTGGCTGTTGCTTAAATGGACAACCAATCACTTTGCTGAGCTTGAATGAATAGAAAAATGAGTAGAATCATAATGAACTGTTATTGTGAAAAGAAGCAGGGTCAAATAATATTTGATAATTTTGAGCTTTGAATTTTTAACATTTGTTTAATTCTGCATTTATTTAGGCCTAAATGATCATTTCTTTTTACATAGTGTCCACTTATTTATGTAATAGTGAATCCTTTGGGTCCCCATACATTAGACAATAGAAATGTCAGGCTTATTGCAACTTAATGATTTCACTATAAAATTAAAAAGCAAGTGGTGCAGCAGCTTTAAGTTTCCTTTTGTTTTTATGATAAAGCTTATATATGGTGGTAATTTAACCAAAATCTCTGCTGGTCATTTCTTTTTTGAATCCACTTTCTTTCTTTGTCAGTTTTGTTTTCATTTAACACAGTAGATGGTTATTATGGAAGTATTTCTAGTATTTTTTTTTCTGATATCTTCCTGAGAATTTGTGCTGTAAGGACTGAATAACAATGATATTGTTACAATGTTTCTGTGTGAATATTTTGCTTTTATGGTAATGCTTACCATAACTCTGTAAAAGATAGTCTGGCTTCTAATAAAATGATTATAAAAATGTCTCAGCTCAGCACACTGTTTAATGTTATTTATATGTTCAATCATAATGAAAATGTCTAAAACATGAAACAAAACTTGTTTCATGTTTTATACATATATAAAATATATATTTCTAATAGTTTTATTTTGAAATTAACCAGCGGAAGTCGTGTGTTTTCAGTATAACGGTTAATTGACCCGTCCCAAGCAGTTGTTAGCATTAGGCTATGAGGTTAGAGGGCCCGCGGTTTCTCTGCTGTGAATTACAATGGCAGCTGAACCAAAACATTAGCTCTGATGCTAAAGTCAAACAATGCTGTGTCATTAATTAGTCCGATAATAATTCAGTTTATGGGCCGTGACAATTACTAGCCAGTTAGCTAACGGCTAGTTAGCCCTGCTAGCTGCGATACCAACATCAGCAACACCAACAGCAGCAGCTGTCAACACTGAATTCCTGCGTATCCTCAGCAGCACGCACGGTTTCGCCGCAAAAACGGCACTTTAGAAGAAATTCAAATGGAGACAAACGCACCGAAAAGACGAGACAATAAAAAATCTCTGCGTGTGAAGGTAATAAGCCTTGGAAATGCCGAAGTCGGAAAGGTAAGAGACTGCCAGTTTATTTTCGACCAAACCCCATAATGAAATCTGGTAGATTTTAGCGATGGGATGCTAATACCTGAAATAAACCTTAAAATATCTAATAAAAAAATATTTTTAGAGGGAGCTCACAAAATAATCTTTTACCTGATATAAATACGTGTCTGACCTTTTAATGATAAACATTTCTCGTGTTGTTGCTATCAGGTTTATGAGTCTGTTGGCTCTAATTTATGCTGTTTATTCTGACGCCAGACACCTTGTAAAAATCAATTACTTTCAGGTGTTCTTGCTTAAAGCATCTAATTGCTGCAGAGTAGAACATCCACGAATACTAGTTTTAAACGATTGCCACCTTGTGTAAAATTCGGCATACAGTTTCTTTTACTGAGATTAAGAAATTAATTGTTTTTTAACGTTAAAATGACAGTCCTCATGCGGCAGTGACTGCGACAGCTACTAGCACTGAACCAGTTCAAAAAATTGATATTGTAATGAATTCATGTTAACTTCATTTATGATATGTTTGCCAAAATAACCAAACTAATGTAATTATTATTAAATAATCATAAATTAAGTTTTAGTACGTTTGTGTGTTTTGACTAAGGTCCTTTTAAAAGCGATAAATATCCTCTAAATTTGGAAACATTACATTACATACATTATATGCTAAGATTAAAAATGGACGTTCCCGCCAAATGTACTCCTGCAGTCTTAATTTAGTTAAACAATAGCATCTGCTAGCTTTGAACCAAATGAACCTTTTAAAAACGTTGAAATACGTTTGAAAAAAGTTAATGTCTGGTGATTTATGGCGAATTTACCAAGAGAATCTAGCAATCCTCAAGTAATCATAAATTATTACTTATTATTTTTCCCATTAACGAGGTGCCCCAAAATGTGTATGCTGAATGTTCAAGTGGACCTCATCCATTCTTTAACGGTAATAAATACTAGTTTAACACTTCTATGTTTTTGCCTAAAGGCAAAACGCCTTAAAATTGTTAGATTTTTGAAGGGAGTCTAGTGTGAAAGATGCTGTAGCTCATTATAAATGTTTTTTCCTCCACAGAGCTGCATCATCAAACGCTACTGTGAGAAGAGGTTTGTTCCCAAGTATTTGGCCACTATTGGTATTGACTATGGCGTCACCAAGTAAGTTCATACACTTGGTTATTATTCTATTACTTTATGTTTGTTTGTTTGTTTGTTTTTTTTATATAATGTCTTTGTATTTTATGTAAATCTAGCTCTTGTACTTTATTAATATTAATATGACATGATAGCAGTAGAACTATATAACGTGTTTTTCGTAATATCAGTAATGTTTGTGTTGTCAGAGTGCAGGTTCGCGACAGAGAAATAAAAGTGAACATCTTTGACATGGCCGGACATCCTTTCTTTTATGAAGTGAGTCAAAAAAAATTCATTTTACCATTTAATTGTGGTTTTCATATTTTTTCAAGTACTTCAACTTATATTTACCCATTGTCAGAAGTCTTGTATTTCTTCGTCAGGACAAACAAAACAAAACCAGCATCAAGAAAAAGAAATAAAATCATCACAGTGAAATGATGTCAGAGGTCATGGAGTTTAATGAGTTGTAATATGGGAGACCTGCCAGCCGGTGGAGATGTTGAACCAGGACTATTATCCTCTTCTGTCACCTTCCTTCCTTCATCCTTCTTTTTCGCTATTTTCCCCTCCGTCTTGTCTCTCAGGTGCGTAATGAGTTTTATAAGGACAGTCAGGGGGTGCTGCTGGTTTATGATGTCGGCCTCAGGGAGAGTTTCGACGCTCTCGACAGCTGGCTGGGAGAGATGAAGCAAGAAATGGGCTCGCAGGCTAACATGGACAGCATCGTGTTCGTCGTCTGCGCCAACAAGGTATGACTCTTAAACTTTCCTATCCTTATCAAACTGGGTCAATCAGATGCTGAAAAGTAAAGGTTCGGATGCTGGAAGATAGTCAGAGGTGACTGTGTATGATGTTGTACTAAATGCTGCAGTGTATAACTTCGAGTAAGTAAAAAAATGAAGGAGCTATCCTGCACAGACACTGATATTCATGTACAAACTTGATTTCAAACTATTTTTTATCACCACACATCGACTGTCCTTCTGTGCAGGTGGACCTGACGAAGCGGCGGGTGGTGGATGAGGGGGAGGGCCGTCTGTGGGCGGAGTCCAGAGGGTTTCATTACTTTGAGACATCGGCACAAAGCGGAGAAGGCATCAATGAGATGTTCCAGGTTTACACACATACACATGTAAACTCACATTATTGTTGTTTTTTAAACAAATACTTTTGAGCATAGTGTGTGTGTGTGTGTGTGTCCGTCCGTCCACTCAGGCGTTCTTCTCCTCCATCACCGACATGTGTGAAAATGGCGGGAAGCGTCCGGTGTCGGAGGTCAGTGTCGGCTTCACCAAAGAGCAGGCAGACACCATCCGACGTATCCGAAACAGCAAGGACTCATGGGATATGTTGGGTGTGAAACCCGGGGCCACACGGTGAGTAGACGGCTCCGGATCATGTGTTATTTCATTTATAACAAAGGATATTTAGAAGAAAAAAATATAATGATTTAATTTGTATTAACTGAATATTTTTAGAAAATTTTCATGTCAAAATAAAGTTTTAAAAATGACATAAAATGTAATATTCATGTAATATATCATCAGTCAGTAAATTGAAATATCTATGAACAAACTTTTGAATATAACAACAAACAAACTACATGTAAATAAAAACAAATTACTCATATAGGTAAAACGTCAACAAAACAGCAACATAAATATATATTTACCTTGATTACATTGATAAATTCATTATTCTGAGTATTTAGATTTTCTGTAAGTTGCTGAAAAAGTCATTATTTTCTCTTGGTGTATCTAACATTGGTTCCTGCCTCTTCGTTTCCAGGGAGGAGGTGAACAAGGCGTACAGGAAGTTGGCGGTCCTGCTGCACCCGGATAAATGTGTCGCCCCTGGCAGCGAAGACGCCTTCAAAGCCGTGGTGAACGCTCGCACCTCACTGCTGAAGAACATTAAATAACACAGTAACACACAGCTGAAACCTCTCAGAGCTCGGACCTCCGTCACTCAGACATGGACTGAAGAGTCATACTCAGCCGTACGAACAGTGTTTATTTATTGGTATATTTATTTAGCGTAAAGGTCTTGTGTGCCATGTTGCTTGCCACAGTGCTGTATGCCAACCTAATGTCTGGTTTATGACCAGTTTTAACTTATTTACTACATTTTATCTCTAAACTCGTGTGTGTGTTAATGAGAGAGAGAGCGAGAGAGAGTATGGAAGATGATGAGGGCCACATGAGAAAATTAAATTGAGTTCTGAATCAAACTTGAAATGAATTCTGAGATTGAAAATGACAAAATTAAGTTAAAATTCTGAAGTTTCCGTCAGACTTTTTAGATTTAGATAAAAATTTCAAACTCCAAGTTTTAAGTCTGAATTCTGAGGCTTTTTAGTTTTACTCAGACATTTGAGAATAAAGTCTGAGACATCAGACAGGTCAAAAGTTAAAACTCTAAGACTGCAGTTAGACTTCTTAAATTACAGTGTCAGAAATTTGAGTTTAAAATCCAAATACTGAGAAAAGAAAAGGTTAAAATTCTTAGAAAATCAGAACGTTTAGGAGAAGGTTTAATTCTGAGAATAAAGTTATAATTTAAAGATTAAAGTCTTTAAAGAATTTTTAGGTTGATGTCAAAATTGAAACAAAACTCAAATTCAGAGATTAAAGTCAGAGATTAAAGTTTGATTATATAATAAGAATCCTGAGATTAGAGTCACAATCTTTAGATTAATGTCAACATTATAAATGTCAGTGTCAAAATTAAAAGAAAAAATTAAAAAAAAAAGTTACAAAATTCTCAAATGTCAGAATTTTCTGAGGTAAAACTGTAAGAATCAAATAATAATTCAGCTATAATTTAGACCTTTTCCTTTGATTCTGATTAATGTCAGAAGTCTTACATTTTTCTTTGTTTCACATTGGCCTTCATTCTTTTCTACATGTTGACGTGTGGTTTTGAGTTAAGTGTGTGTGTGTGTGCGTGTGTATGCGTGTGTGTGTGTTTGTATGGCCAGGTTAACATCTTCCTTCTTCCTGTTGATGTTGAAGACATCAGTAGAGCGGCAGGTCAAAGGTCAGTGTTCAACCTGATTTCACAGTAAAGAAACAAATCCAGTCAGTGAAGGTACGAACTACTTTGGTAAAAGTCGAGTAATTCTGAATGAATGCGACTTTAGATTCACATTTCACAGCCTTTAAAGTAAAGAGTTCACTTCCTAAAGCTCAGACTCGTCCTGTGTGTGTAACGTTACTACACTTTCTCAAACTCATTTTAAAGCCTGGTTGCCAAATCAGTCAAAGTTAAAGGTGTGATGTTCAATATTAAAACAACTCTCACATGGTCAAACCTGCCAACTCCTCAGCCCGAACGTCCCCATACCAACACTCAGTTTTCTACTGATGACATCACCAGTCCCTTAGTGATGATTGGTCGATGCAGCTACGGCACCAAACCAGTCTAAAGCCAAGAGGTCTAAAGAGAAAGAACTACCAACCTACCTGGTCGGGAACCGGTCATGTGCTGTTTACTGAAGGGGGGGGTTAATTAACTTGTTCCTTCTATTGTCAACTGTCCATAGGATCAATTATATTTTTTAGTTCCTTTAAATTGTTCATTTCTGCCCTTAAATACTGTTTTTAGTCAAATCCATGATTTGTAAACTTAAATGAACCTTTAGTGACGGCTCTGTGCCTCCTGACGTTTGTGTTCTTTTATTCATATGTTTCAGATCCATAATGTCATCCATTAAGTAGAAATATCATCACTTTAGTTTGTAACATCCTCAAAATGCAAATTTATTCAAGTTGAGATGTTCTTTCAAAATACTTATTTGTGCCCTCGAATAGAACCTTTATCCTCATAACACAGAAACTAACTTTTTCCTTGAAATAATCCTTTTTTTTTCCTGAAATATGTTGCGTTTTCCTCAACACACCAAACAATATCATTTAACTTCACATCTAACCCTGTTTTTTCCCTTAAAACTCGCTGTTTGATCAGAAAACTGTAAATAAGCAGCTGTATTTTGTCTTCCACCCGGTCACTCCATGATAATGTCCTTACCTGAACAAGAACGTTTCCATGGTGATGATAATGGGATGTTTTTCATTGGGGTACTGAACTAAAAGAAAAACTTTTTATTTATGTCCATCCCTCACTGAAACAGAATCTGAAAAAAGTGTTTGTTACTGTAAAGAACTGACAGGCAGCATGAAGATATGTCATCACAGTTTTATATTTTTACATACGTGTATCCACGGTAACAAACAAATGCACAGACTGAGCTTCCACTTGTTACTTTAATGTGATTTTTATGTTTTTAAATTGATTTTTATTGTGTATTGTGTATTATTTACATTATGGTTAGCACTTGTTTTTCCACCTAAAGACCACATTTCCCATCAGCCCAGTTGCTTTGTCTGTATTAATATTTACTGATGGCAGTAAAAACAAATTTAAATGAACAACAAAGCAGATCAGTTTTGATGCATTTTGCATTAAAGAAAAATCCAAAATAGATTAAATAAAAACATTAAATTAAAAGCAGATAACAAAACAACAAAAATGAAATCAATAACTAACCAAATAAATTGAATTTGAAGATAAAGGAAAAAATGGACATAGGAAATGAATGAAATGAATTATTGAATAATTTGGAAACAATTGAAAGCAAAATTAATTTATAATAAAAATCCCAATAAATTGACAAGTGGAACAAACAGTGTTTGTGATGTAAAGCGTCAGCCAATCACACGTTTCGAACATGTTACATTAAATTAGTTTGTTTGTATATCAGTGTGTTCTGTGTTATAGTAACCACATATTATTTATTTTGTATGATGAACAGTTTAAATGGATAATGAGACTGTGTGTGTGTGTGTGTGTGTGTGTGTGTATGTATGTGTATATGTATATATATATGTGTGTGTGTGTGTGTTTTAAGTATGATATTTCGCCACAGACTGAACTCCATACCTCATGACTGTGACTTAAGTCACGCTTTAATCATCTGATGAGCTGATGATGCGTTTCCTGTCGCCTTTAGACCCTCGTTAAGGTCACATTTACACAATAACGCAGAAGAAGAAGAGAAATGTTTTTTAATTTTTCCCACATTAGTGAGGACATAGTCGTAGTCACATGTCGACAGTTTTCTGTTGACCTCTGGTGTGTGTGTGTGTGTGTGTGTGTGTGTGTGTGAGAGTGTGTGTGTGTGTGAGTGAGTGTGTGTGTGTGTTAGAGTCTCACTGTGGTTCTTGTAAGTGCACGTTCTACTGGATTGTTTTTGAAATAATAAAAACACAAAAATAATTCCTCTGACTCCGGCCTGTCTGTGGGTTTCTGTCTTTGTGGGGACCAGTTTGTGTTTCAACTTTAGGGTCTAAAATCATATAACGTGGCTTTTTAAAAAATATCTTGTCATTTTTTTTAGACATCCTGGAGTATGTATACAGTCACGTTGGCTCAATCTGACCTTTTGATTTATTCGTTCGTGTTTCTTGTAATTTAATCACGTTTATAGATTTTTTTTGTCATTTGTTTTATTTTATAGGTTGGTAGAGAAACAGGAATGTCAGGGAGAGAGAGAGAGAGAGAGAATGACCAGCAGCAAAGGGCTCAGGCTGGACTCGAACCTGGGCCTCTGCGGTAAGGACTCAGCCTGAGCACATGCTACCCTCTACCTGGTGAGTTACCAGGGCGCCCCACAATTAGAGATTAACTAGTGTTTAACATGACGAGGTGAATTTTAAGAAGAACCATCTCCCTCTGTCAGCTTGTTCCTACTGTACACTACACACTCAAACACAACCTGACCTGGTTGGAGGTCTGCCAATCCCATCATGCACCTGAACACGCACACATACACAGCTAAGAGTTAATCTGTTTTATTAATGAGCAGCCATTTGTCTCTGTTTCAGGGATTCCTGTGGGATTAACACACACTCAGACATCTGCTGGTTCACATCATCTTATTACACAAAGCTCCTCCACCTCGATTTCCGTCTCTCTCTCTCTCTACCTCTACCTCTCTCTCCCTCTCTGAGTTTCTTCTTCTCTGTTGTTTCTCTTTGTCTGTCAGAGGATTTTGGACAAACTTCATCCTCAGCTTCCTCGTTTGGTTCATTTTGAGTTTTTCCTACCATGAAGGTAAACATAGAAATTAAGACTTAGAACTACAGTTTGACTTGATGTTCGTCCTTGCTTTAACTTTCTGTCTGCTTGTATTTTCTTGAGGAGACGTATAAAAAATGGAAACAGAAGTTTTGAAAGGTAGACACCACAAAGAATTATGAAAGGTGAACTCAAGGACACAAATTACGGAACACATTTTAACGTTGATGGAGAATTTCAGCGCTAAGACAGAATCTTTACAGAGAGAACTGTTTTACTTTGCACTTAAGAACAAATCCAGAGATGGAAAGAAGAGCAGAGAAGATTCAGTTGAATGAAAAGATATAAAACATGGATGAAGAATGAAGTTACAAGTGTCGCTAAGAGATGAGTGAACACAAACAAGCAGAGGAAATGAAGGGGAAGTTAACAGGAGGATAACAGGAGAGTAAAGTACAAAAAATAAACGGAAGAAGACAAAAAGAGGGAGGAGAAACAAACAGACATGGAGAAGGTGACTAAAGGAAATGGACTTAAAAGATAAAAAAGTGATAACTGAAAAGGACGAAAGAGAAAAGGAAACAAACGAGAAACACGAAGGAAACCAACCATCATCGCCGATGACTGAGGCATGAGACCGGTGTCACACTCACCTTCGTCTGGATGAAACAAACTCCACGGCAACAAGTAAGTACAGCAGATACATTCAACCTGTGCTGGGCATTAAACCTCAGTATTGTTATACAGTGAAATGTGTTTGTTGTTGTTTCAACACAAAATTTAAATTTGACATTTTTAGAGATTATTTTGATCAATACAAAAAAGGTTCTATAGAAAAACAAGGAATGGGTGAAACTGTTGTTTGGTATCAGAACCAGGTATCAGCTCTGGTTTCAAAAAAGTTCAGATGATCCCCAGCTACATAGAAAATAGCATCAAGAATCATGATAGAATCATGATAAAACTGCTTGTGGTCACTTGGAGGCAGCAGAACAAGCTCAACATGTGGTAACAGTTGCTTATTTCCACGTCCAGCTGTTACAGATAATGTCAGTAATTACTTGTTTTATTTTCTGTTATTTTAGTCAAGCAGAAAAAACAACACTGGCATACGGTTGTTCTTTGAATCTCACGATACCAAGAATGACGTTTAAGCTTTACACACACACTGATCAGCTGGTGTCTAATTAACCAATTTAAATAAATCAGCTGACGGTTTTCTCCCTTTCATCCCTCCGGAAGTCTCTGAGCAGAGATGAACTTCCTCCTCTGCTGTCGTCAGGAATAATTCAGGAGCCAGCAGGTCACTGTGCTGTAATCTGATTGTCTTAGCCCTGAAACCTGGACCTGACCCGGGCCAACTGGTCCACTGAGGCCCTTTAGTTTTCTGGCAGAGAGACAATCTGATCAACTGGACATCTAGATTGTTTACAACACGACATGAACTGAAAGTTTATCTGACGTGCCTCGGTCTGTGATCTCAGACTCTGACTCACTTATCCAGGGGGTTGAAGGTTTAAAGGAGGGAAACTCAATAACAAAATTAACCAAAATAAAAGCAGGAACCAAGGAAAGTGAAAGTGACGAGAAGGAACATTTTAAAATATCAATAAAAGAATCGATCAAATAAATAATAACCATAAAACATTTCAATCAAAACCATCTCTGTTCTGCACCAATCAGGTCGCAGAAGAGAAGGGCTTCACTGCTCTCGTAACCATGGAAGACAGCGACGACAACTGTGGCGTGCTGGAGAACTGCAAGTGTGAGGCAGCGCGGCAGACCAATGACATCACCTTCAGCACCAACATAAGCCCCGCCCCCGGTCTGCGGAGGAAACAGCTGATGTGGCAAAATGCCGTCAGGAACATCATTGACCAACACAACGTGTACTCGCTGAGGCTCGCAGGAGGCCTGGAGAGAGGGAGGCACCGCATCACTGTCACAGACGCCTACATCGCCGACATCAACAGGTAGAGTCGGTGATGACATCAGCAGGTAGAGTCTGATGTCATCAGCAGGTAGAGTTGGTGATGACATCAGCAGGTAGAGTCTGATGTCATCAGCAGGTAGAGTCGGTGATGACATCAGCAGGTAGAGTCTGATGTCATCAGCAGGTAGAGTCTGATGTCATCAGCAGGTGGAGTTGGTGATGTCATCAGCAGGTAGAGTGGGTGATGACAGGCTGTTGTCTTGCAGGCAGATTCGCAGCAAGGCGTCCAGTGGAACGTTGTGGCAGAAGCGGCGCTCGTCGGCTGCTCGTATCCACCCGGCGACACCGAGGATCACCGCGGCAACAGAGACGAAACACGACTCCCTCTGTGACGCAGATTTCTTCGTGTCAGTGGGGTCGACAGTACGAGGGGTCTTCATCCCCGCTCTGCAGCACACATTCAAGTAAAGACACAAACAGCAACACGTCGAGTCACGAGATGTTTTTGTATTTAAGTTTAAGAATTATATTATTATTATTATTATTATTATTATTATTATTATTATCTAATTTTATTAATGTTTTTAAACGGCTCATTAAAATGAAATCAGTGTTTCAGCTGAACACTCTGACTCTCAGGTCAGCAGACTTGGAGCAGCTGTATCAGCAGTTTTCTTCTGGTCAGAGAAGAACGTCACTGGTCGTCACCAACGTCATCGACATCCTCACCAGACTCCTCATCTCTCTGCTAACATGGCCGCCGTCACAAGGTGGCGTCGCCTGTGATTGGCTGGCCGGCGTGTCTGTTGTCCTGTGGGCGGGGATCAGCGTGCTGGCTCTGACCAGGAGGGAGGTGATGTTGTCGCCGCAGTCGCTGAGGTATGCTGGGAAATGCCGGTACTTTAAAGTGGAACTTTTTAAAACAAGTTTGTACAACAAAAAGTTGTCCGACCATTTAGTCATGTGACCTCTTATGTAACATTAGTGTTATGGAGTTGTGTGTGGTCCATGAAATCCATGTGTAGTTGTCAGTTGATGCAGGACTCGGACTTGAGTTCTCCAGAACCAGGACCTGTCTCTGCCTCAGGTACCTGTCTGTGGTGAGCTGGTTGTCTCAGACCGTCCAGGTGTTGGTCGGTGTTTTCGGTTGGGCGGAGAGCGATCACTCCTGGTATGTCTTCTTCACCCTGTTCTCCACCTACAACCTGCTGCCCCTCCCCCTCCTCTGGTCCATCGTAGCCGGGGCAACCACCTCCACCCTGCACCTGCTGGTGGACGTCTGCTGTCACTATGACGACCACACCTCCATCAGAAAGGTTTTCTTTCTTTCTTTCTTTCTTCCTAAGAACATTACGATCACTCCATGTCGCTTTTTGCTGACCCTGTCAGAGCTTTGTACTGTGTGTATATATGTAAATATACTGTATATATGTTGTTGTACCTGTTCAGGTGTTGGCGAAGGCCTTGTTGTACCTGGCTATGAACACAGCTGGTCTGTTCATCCATTACCTGTCAGACCGGACTCAGAGACAGTCCTTCCTGGAGACCAGGCGCTGCATCGAGGGACGAGTCCGGCTGGAGAGAGAGAACCACAGACAGGTAGAGAACCACAGGCAGGTAGAGAGACATACAGGAAGAGAGACAGACAGGTAGAGAACCACAGACAGGTAGAGAGACAGACAGGTACAGAACCAGCAGACATGACATCATTACTGTAATATTATGATTAGTCCAGATATTTGTCCATTGATTCGTCCTGTGATGTCAGTTTTCATGTACATGTCTCATTCAGTATATATTAATTGATTATAGATTTATTCACATCATTCATAGTTTGGTTTCCTCAGGGCTGCAACTACCAGTTATTTTCATTATCGATTAATCAATCATTTGATCTGTAAAATCACATCACACATTTAAACATCCAAAACCCGTCGAACGACATTCAGGTTCTTACATAGGAAAAAGAAAAGACGTGGAACCATGACGCCTGTCTGTCTCATGTCCTGCAGGAGCGTCTGGTGATGTCCATCCTGCCTCGCTTCCTGGTTCTGGAGATGATCGCTGACATGGTCACCATGGAGGAATACCTGCTGCCTCAGCAGTTCCACAAGATCTACATCCACCACTACAAAGACGTCAGGTGAGTTTGAACCCGTCACAGAGCAGCTGTGTCAGTTAATACAACCTCAAACAGCGCTGTCAGACCCTGAGTTTATATCTGAAGGTGTCACAGAAAACTATTGAAGTTTAATTTATGAACTTTATCTTTTTGTTAAAATCCCGACGTCCTGATTTTGATCGTACGTTTCTTCTTCCTCTCTTCGCAGCATCCTGTTCGCAGACATCATCGGCTTCACTTCTCTCTCGCTGATTCTCTCGGCTCAGGATCTCGTTAAAACTCTTAACGAACTCTTCGGTCGCTTTGACAGGCTGGCCGAGGTCAGATCACCACGGCAACCACATAAACCACCATTTTTTAAGTTTACATTTTTGTGATCCACATTATGTGCAGTGTAAATAAAGTTTATTGTCATTATTGACAATAAAATAAACATGAGAACATACATGTCAGTGAGAAAAGGCCTGTTAACGACAGTGTATCTCCCTGTGTGTTGGTGTGTTCAGGAGCATCAGTGTTTGCGTATTAAGATCCTGGGTGACTGTTACTACTGCGTGTCAGGAGTCCCAGAGCCTCAAAGAGGACACGCCCGCTGCTGTGTGGAGATGGGCCTCAGCATGATCAACACCATACGGTACAAACACGCTCTAATAAAACACATGAAACGCACTGTTGACGTGAAACTTGACGGAGACGTTAACGTGTTGCAGGTACATTCGTCGGGAGCTGCAGCAGGAGGTAGACATGAGGATCGGCGTCCACTCTGGTTCGGTTCTTTGTGGCGTCCTGGGTCTTCAGAAGTGGCAGTTTGACATCTGGAGCTGGGACGTCGACATCGCCAACAGTCTGGAGGCAGCAGGAATGCCAGGGTCAGACACACACACACACACACACACACACACACACACAACGCAGCCATCTCATATATTAACTCTCCTAAACCTGAACCTGATGGTAACGTTACCTCTCCATCAATCAATCAGTCAATCAATCAGACTTCATTTGTACAGCACTTTTCATAAACAATGTAACACAAAGTGAAAATAATACCAGTAAAACAGCTTAAAATATATAAGTATTCAAGTAAGTATAGTAAATAATTCAATTAAAGCCGGACTAAAAAAGTCTTTCCAAAATATCTTCACTGTACAAAAACGTTTAGTCGCCTCATTTACTAATTTATTGACTAAAGGAAATCACAACAACATATTTATTATCACGTCTCATTCACACAGATGAAGAAACTTTCCTTTGATGTTATTTTATCTCAGATAATTTAAATGTAATAAAATTATCTAACGACTCTGGTCCTCACCTCAGGCAGATTCACATCTCTCGGGCCACTCTGGACTGCCTGGGCGGGCTCTACGAGACGGAGGCGGGACACGGCCGGGAGCGCAATGAGATGCTACGGAAACACAACATCGACACGTACCTGATCCGCCCAGCGCCGCGGGAGGAGGCGGAGCCGCCGAAAGTGAGACGGCCGAGTTACGAGGAGATGACGACATGGAACGCGGAGTTGCCGTTCGGAGACATCCTGGGGATGAATTTTGTGAGAACGACAGAAACTTTTATAACAAACAAATCTCTGACTTTGTGGAAACGTTGGTGACTTCTGATGCCGTGTGTTCTCTCTGTGGCGCCCCATAGATCCTCGCCACTTTCACCAATGGCTCACTGACCCAGCTGCCCAATCAGATCGCGGCTCAGAAGTCGGGATCACAAGAGGTCAACAAGAGGATCCGTCAGGCCATGGAGGTGCGGAGCAGCGAGCTAATGAGGAAGGAGCACATCACCACCTTCACCCAGGTGTTCAAGGACTCCCACATGGAGGGAAAGGTAATGACGTGACTCCTGCGACTTGTTCTTGAGCTGTAGCAGTTTGGTGAGCGCTCATCGTCCTCTGTTTGTCTCTCAGTACTCCCAAATGAGAGACGAACTCTTCAAGTCCAACATGGCTTGTTCTTTCATCCTGCTGCTGCTGCTGATGGCCGTCCAAGTGCTGATCCCCGCCCCACGGTACACCTGTCTGTCACCTGCCTTTTCTGTGGTTTTCTTTGTAGTTGCTGTTTGTTTATCACATTTAATCATCAGTGATACAAATCTGACACTGAACCTCACAAGGCTCCCGCCTCATGTCTCATTATTACTGGAGTAAAATATTATATACATAATATGACATCACTCATACATACAAGACAACATCATCATCTACAATAAAATACTTAGCATCGTGTCCCCGCTCTTTATCCCACAATCTGATGATTTAACTGCACTTACTGAAGGAAAATAAAGTTTAAATATAACTTTATAGACACTGTTTTACTCCTAATGGAGGCTGAAACTCCAGTGTACTCTGACGCAACATCTCCGAGTCGTCACCTCCTTCATCTCTCTGTACAGGTTGTGTCCGATGGTTGCTCAGTTTCTAATCAGCGGGAGTATTTACTCCCTGCTCCTGATGATTACTCTGGGGGAGGAGTTTAAGCGTTGCCCCGCCCCTCTTCAGTCGCTCTGTTGCTGGATTCATGAAACCAAGAGCGTCCGGACTCTGCTCACGCTCACCGCCATCACTGTCAACTTCGGAGTCGCCTCCTCGGACATCGTAAGTCTGGCACAGCTGTTGTTGTTTCTCCTCTGGAGGTCAAAGAGAAAATAGTGAAGCAACTTTAGGTTTAAAAATTTCCCAAAAATGTTGACTTGAGTAACAAGGATCTTTATCTTGTCGGCCTAAAGCAACAGTGTTGAGGAAGAGCAGTACACTTTCAAGAAACGGGAAAGTTTTGTCAGTAAAGTTTCTTGGCCCCCCTTGAAATATTTGTGGGCGCTTGAACATTTTAAGGAAACTAGTCAGCAAAGTTTCCCAAAAAGTGACCCAGTTTATTATTTCTGGAAACAAAACTCTGTCATCCTTTTCTGACATGATTAGTCTGAAAAAGTTGCTGGTTCCTGGCAACAGTAAAGGGTGCCAGCCAAGATTTTCTAACTGGCATCTTAATATTTCCCTTGACAGTTACCAAGTTTTTACCTCCTTCTTTCCTTCCTTCCTTCCTTCCTTCCTCCAGCTGTGGTGTGATTCATCAGACACTCACGTTAACAGCAGTGACTCCCTGCTGTCTCCGCCCGCTTCCCCCTGGCCTGACATCAACATCTGTACGCATCCAGAGGTGCGTTCAGTCACTAAGTAAACACTATGAAACATGATCATATTGTTTAAGTGCGCATCATAGTGTAATTAACGACCCTCCTTGTGTACAGTACATGGTGCTGAGCGGTGTAGTTGCCATGGTTACCTGCGCAGTGTTCCTCAGGTTGAGTTGTGTGCTGAAGCTCGCTGTCCTCCTGTTGGCTGCCGCCCTCTACACCTACCTCATAGAGATACACAGGTGACCTCAGTAACACGTCAGCTGTTTGAAGCTAACAACATTAGCATATCCAACGTTAGCCTACCTGTTCAATCCTACCTCATGATATGCTAGCTATAAACAGCAAGCTAGCAACAAGTAGCATGTTGATAATCACACTATGTTGACTTTTTATCCATAGGCCGTGAGTCACTAGTTACAAACAGCTAGCATATCTAGCATCACGCTACATTGCCTTGTCATTCATTAGCTGATATGCTAGTCACAGATGGTTGGCATGTCGCCTGTTTAGTCAGTGTTATTAATTCAAATGTTTAGCATATATACATGTGTATTATGCTAGTGATAATTAGCTCAGATATGGCAAAACAAACTACAGAAGTTAGCCAGGATACCAAATACTGACTCTAATTAAGCCGATTTAACAAATTAAAGAAGGAGCTCCTCGTTAACAAACCCGACCTGTCACCATTACATGAACATAGAAACACACAAACTGGATGTCCGATGCCAAGCTATCTCTTTGTAGGTATTTGTCATGCCAACTACAAAAAACTAGATTTTAATTGTTTGTTTTGGTAAAATTCACAATCCAATCACTTTGTGTGTCACTCAGGAATCATCACTTGTGTAGGAAGGGAGTTTGTGTCGTTCTCATGGTGATGTTCATTGGAGCCGTTCTCTACAACAGCAGACATGTGAGTCCTACTGGGTTCTACTGGGTTCTGCTGTGCTGATTTGAGAAGAGACAGAATCTGTTAACTGAAAGTCTGTGCTCTTCTTCGGTGGTAGCTGGAGGCGACGGCCCGGCTGGACTTCCTGTGGCGTCTCCAGGCGAGGAAGGAGGTGGAGGACATGAAGGAGCTGAGGGAACACAACGAGTGTCTGCTGCTCAACATCCTGCCCGCCCACGTCGCCCAGCACTTCCTGGAGAGAGACCGGAACAATGAGGTACTCTCCCCTGTCCACAGGTGTGTCAGTGTGCGCACTGAATTCAGTTCCCTCACAGCACGTCCTAGAGGGTATTTATTGTCGTTTGGCATAAACATGACCCTGAGCTCCACGCTCTGTACAGCCAGGTGTTGCCTGATGATGAGGTCGACAGTGCAGCCCGTGGTTACTTTCTCCAAGAAGCTTGTTGGTGAGAAAATGGCTCCCCAGGGGAGATGGATTTGTGGGGGATCACATTGTGCAACTTGTTTTGCCATCTACGTTGAGAGTCACTGTACTCCAGGCTGCAGGTCATTTCGGTGTAAGAAAAACCTTATCGACTTCTGCGACTTTTTTACTGGCCTCGGTTAAGAAGATGTTTCTGCTATTATTAAAACCTGCCTTGTGCACCAGCTGACTGTCCCTCTGTATCCCATCCCAGCTGCTGAGCATTCACTGAACATCTGTCTGATGACTGTGTTGGTCCCCAGCCACGCTCCTAAGCTGGTAGTCATTGTGCTGACAGTGATGTGTCAGGTGCTGCCTATCTCCGTAGAGATAGTTTAGACATGTTTGCAGAAGTGTTAAAATATTCTCAGTCCAGCGCCTCCTGTCCTCGGAGCCAGGGAACTAATCTACACCTGGGTGCTGGTACTTGCAGGTGTTCACTGTGTGTTTGTCTTTATATTCAGGAGTTGTACTCGCAGTCGTACGAGCGAGTCGGCGTCCTCTTCGCCTCGCTGCCGGGCTTCTCCAAATTCTACGAGCAGAAGGAACTCATTCATCAGCACGTCGAGTGTCTGCGCCTCCTCAACCACATCATCACCGGCTTCGATGAGGTCACACACACGCAAAAATAACACATAAAAATGATAATGCCACAGAAACATATGATGTCTGTGAAGACAGGATGTAAAATTTGAAATAATCCAAAACTTGAAATGAAAGTGTTTCTTCCTTTTTATCTGTTCCAGTTTTCTGGTGAGCCTGAAAACTTAAAAACACTGTTGATAATCGTCTTTATTTAATTTAAAAAGTGGTCATTTGTAATGTTAGAAACATAAATTACAGCTTTCTGTTACAGTATAATAATATAAATGTATTGTTTATTGGCATGGTATTAAAGTATGAGTGAAGTCATCACTCCTGTGTGTCTGTCTGTGCAGCTGATGGATGAGTGTTATTTCCAGGAGGTGGAGAAGATTAAAACCATCGGTAGCTCCTACATGGCAGCTTCTGGTCTCTCTCCTGACCGACAGGTCAGAGCCTTTTCTCCTTCTGCAGATAATCAAAAATACCAACATTGAGTTTAAACAGTTGAATGTGTGTGTGTTTGTGTTCAGGAGTGTGAGGACGCCTGGAGTCACCTCACCGAGCTGGTCCTGTTCGCTCTCGCCATGCAGGAAATTCTCAAACACATCAACACACACACAGGAAACAGCTTCCAGCTCCGAGTCGGTTCGTACAACACACACACATTTTATCACATGTTGACGTCATAAAATATGGAAATGATGGAACTACTGGATACATTAGAATAAGTTTCCCTCACACTCCAGATATGAATCTTTATGTGAGAATATTTATTTAATCAAAATGATAATGATAATAATTTTAAGCTTCTTTCAGTTTCCAGTTTAAAATGTTGTGATATATTTTTAAATATTATATTTTGCTGCTGACATCATCTCCAGGTATCGCTCACGGCCCGGTGATTGCAGGTGTGATCGGCGCTACCAAACCTCAGTACGACATCTGGGGCACGACGGTGAACATGGCGAGCAGGATGGAGAGCACCGGAGTCAGCGGGAGGATACAGGTGAGCACACCTGTCTGTGGGAGGGGTTATTATATGTTTATATTATGTTTGTAACATATGGCACACCCCCACCCTTCAGGTCCCAGAAACGACCAGCTGCATTCTGGTGGAGCGAGGCTTCCTACGGCAACTCAGAGGGAGCATTTACATCAAAGGCATCAGTGAACGTCACGGCAAGGTGAGACACAGAGTATCTAGTGTTAATTATGGAATCATGTGAGAAATTAAGAAATCTTTATCTGTAATATCTTCTCTGTCTTTGTCCTTCAGGTTCGTACATTCTTCGTGAGCAGTCAGGAGGAACGATCCAGTTTCATGGAGCGCGGCGGTGGGCGGGGCTTCAGCCTGAACAGGAACACACTGGGAGCTGTGGTGTACAGTCTGGTCCAGGCCAGGAAGAGAGAGAAACTGAGGGAGGAGAACGGAGGGTTTCACCTGGTGGAGGCGTCGTAGGAGGAGGGAAGAGGATCACACGTCTACCACGTTTTTTAAAGGCAGGTGTGAACACACGGGGAGCGAGAGTAAGAGGTCAAAGGGCACGAAGTGTCCAGTGTCCATCAAACTCAGGTGAGGTTTTTGAAAATGAAACCATGGCGTCAGTGTTTGCCACTGTGAGAATGTAAGAAGTGTTTTTAACTCCAGGTCCGTTATCTAAAGACTTGATGACTTTGTTTTAGAGCATCTTTGAGTTCAGATCCTCCAAATGTGCAAAACGTCATTCCTCTTCTTAAATCTGCCTTTTCTGTTGGAGTGACTCCATCAGAAAAGGCCACATCCTCCTACAAACCTCAAGTTATTGTTAAAAACTTTGAAGGCAACTTTTGTTAAATGGTGTAAATGATGTTTAAGGATGTGTTTGATGCATTTTTAGCTTTCTGCGATACATTCTCTTTGAAGAGTTTGAAGAAACATCGGAAACCAACGACCTCTGATCTGAGTTTATAAAGTTCCTCAAGACTTTCAGTCGATCCTGGACGGTGCTGATAATTTGGAGATCTGTGACGTTTACATTTCACTCAGAGTTTAACTTTCACTTTGGACGACAATTGAAATCCCTCCAGGTCTCCAGGGAAATGTAAACTTAATAACAAAATAATAAATAAATAGAAATAATCCAAACCTCAGTGGAGTTGTCCTGGATTAAATTTCAACTCAAAGAGTTTCACGTTTCACAGTTTTTCTGTTTTACGGTATTTTGTTTGTTTGTTTGTTTTTCTCTTTCCTCGATGATGAGATTTCCCAGCATCACATGAACGCTGCATCCCAGTAGAGAACATTTTTATAGTTGTAGTTGAATTTACTTAAAAAGATGTCTGTGAACTTTGTCCTCTAACTGTGCAGCTGCCAAAATCCCAAAGAGCGGCAATAAGCGGCTGCAACATTTCAAAGTGATTCTATATCTGTTTATTTTATATATTTCTGAATGTTGAGAAGATAGATTCTACATTCCCTGAACGTTCTCATTTGGTTATAAAATGTGTGTCAGTTTATTTATAGATTAGATATAGACAGAAACTCCTGTGGTGAGAGGTGAGGAGAGGAAACACGACCAGTGAAATAGACAGGCTGCTGTATTTATTCCCAAATCAATGTTTATTCACAGATTAGACTCTTTTTGTCTTGAACTCTTCGGTTCCCCGCTGGACAACACAGCACAGAGGCACAGGAACTTTGTTTACTGACAGTGAAAACTGAAAGATGATCATATTTAAGAAGAAATGGCTTCAGTGATCAACCTGTTACCAGACATTGATATTATACTTTAGTAGTGAAAATAACATTTTGTAACTAATCAAACTTGACAAACTGACAGAGATAAGGTTGTAAAGGCTCATTGTATTTTCAGTGTATTGATTATCAAGGAACACACACCTGGATTATATTCGTCTGACCTGGTGTTTGTCCCTGCTGACCTGCTCTGACTCTGAACTGGAAACCAGTAGGAGGAAGACAGACTGCTCCAGTTCAGTCTGGTTCTCTCAGTCTCTGTCTTTTGTGGATGATTCAGAGCTTCAGAAGGAAAATCGACTGAATCCAATCGGTTCACAGCTGGAAAACTAATCACATGAAAGAGTGAGTGACCCGACACTAATGTGAAGTATGTGTAAGATAAAACAGCTTCTGTGTTTAAGTCACAATGGTTTGTCAAATACATGTGAATAAGTTGGGCTCCTCATTTCTTTTTTTATTATTGTGTCTGTTGTTATTATTTAATAACTATTTACTACTTTTCTACCATTTGTCTTGTCACAGATAATGTTTTTGACTTTTTAAAAAAGGGTTAGGGTTATTTGATGGAATGGTATATTTAATTAGTTATGTATTGTATTAATTTATTGTTTAATTCACAAAGATTTTAACATGTTTATGTTCCCATTCATTTTTTGCAGTTTTAAAATACATGTAGCTACAGTTTCAGTCCTGATGTAAAACACTGAAACACCCAAACATATGTGAACAGCTGCTGTGTTGAATAACCTTTGAGTGCTGTGAATAATCAGCCCAAAGAGGACTGTAGTCGCTTTATCTGGCATCAAAGGTCACCTCAGGTACTTTAGATCCTACTGAATGTCATTCACAAATTTAAAACAATCAAATCCCTTCCTCTCCTTATCACTCAGATAAAGCAAAAACTGTCATTTCCAAACTTCATTATTGATCCGCAGAAAATTTGGTCAACTACGATTTTGGCGGTTGATTACTGATATGTGAAGGAAATTTCCGGGTGATTTCGGGGCACCTGAAGGCACCATGAGATTCGGCCTCAGTGAGGTTGTTGGCTGGGGGCTGTCGGGGGGAGGAGGGGCCGGTCCAGACTCCAGGTCACTGTCGGACACACCTCTCTGCAGAAGTTTTCAGTCCCTGAGCCGCAGCAGCCCGGATCACTGAAGACAGGACGAGGACGATGAGGGAGATGAGCGGGACCATGGCCGATACCGAGACCCAGTCCGGGTCCGGTTCATGAACCAAGCTTGTTATCTTTCTTCGGTTGAACGGCTTTAAGAAGCGTAAAAATACTCTAATAAAACTAACTAATATAAAAATAGTTAATTTTATATGGAGTTCTGTATTTCACTGTATATTTATATAATATTACAAATAAATATATATATATATAATTATATATATATATATATACTATACGTATATATATATATATTCCTATGTGCAGTTACTCTGAGTGTTTTACCAGCTGTAACGTTTCTATTATATGAATTCTTAATTATTTAATAACATTAATAATAACCCCATTAGATTCTTTAGGAATCTACTTGATACTGAGCTCATAGTGATACACTGTGCTCATTAAACCATTATATTCTGAAGGTTTAAAGCCATTGTCTTGTATTTCATGGTGTTTATATCTACAATAATAAATCTGAAATAATTAAATAATAATAAAAGTAAATAAAATGTGTCAGTAAAATCAGAATCTGGTTTATTGTATAGATATGTTTTCAACAGGAGGAATTTGCTTTGGTGCATAATAACAAACATAGTAAGAAGAGAGGAAATATAAGCAATATGAATTAAAAAAATGTAACAAAATATTTACATGAAAGTGAAGGAATGTTATACAAATAGATAAATATGTACACTATATAATTTTGAATGAATTAAATTAATAAATAAATCAGTTTTGCACAGTTCAATGTGCATTACAAAAAGTATAATAAATAATAAAAGCATAAAATAGAAGTAAAAGCATAATAAGAAAACATTTAGTCTCAGGTGTCTGCAGGATTTCTCATTTATAGAAATAAATTAGTTAGTTAATCAGGACACACACATTTTAAAATTGAATTTTCTGTGCTTTTCCATACCTTTATCTCACTTATCGTTGTCATCTGAATTATTCATTCAGCAGCACAAACACTTTAAACCTGAGTTGAATTAAATGTTTGTAAAATCCTTCATTTTCTGCTTGTGTGTTTTTGTCCTGCAGATTGTTGAGAAGGATGCAGATCCTGAGATGAGCCTGCTGACGTATCTGAGGAGGAAATGTACGATCACACATATATCTAAAAAACACCAAGTACATGTACTGTATTAGACTTTGGCAGCGAGTGTTTTGGTCGCAACAGTCAAAAGGTTTCCTGTTTCACAACTTCTCCATCACAAAGCTTTCGCTTCTTATTTTTATTATCGTTTTTTGTCCGGTCCGTCCTTTTTATTTGTCTTTTTCCTCAGTTGATTCATTTGCTCTCACTGAACATTAGTCAGATTTCTGGATTGAGTTTGCACCAAACCTCTGACGCAATCAACCGAGGGAAAACTGTTTCAGCGCTTTAAATTAGTGATTTATTATAGAGTTTGGTTTATTAGCCTTCTCATGGAAAATACAACATAATGAGTGACTGTCTGAGGCCGGTGACTGTCTCTGAGATCAACAGTCAACAGGTCAAAGTCCAAAAGAACCTTTAAAAAAAGGTTGTATTTTTTTTTAAACAGCTGTAAAGATACAGATGGGTTTATGCGTATCTGTAGCAGATTTCCTTCCTGGGTTCTGTTTTTTTCCAGGACTGAAGGAACCCTGAAAAACACAATTTACTTCTACCTTAATTTACATGGCAACAGAAAATCCTGCCCTCTGATTGGTCGATGAAGGTTTCAATCAAACATAGTTCAAGTGAACAGTTTAACCTCCGTCCTTAAGCAGGAGTCAAGGTGAATTGAAGGTAACCATAGGTAACCATAACCCCTGGAACCTCTTCAAGGAGCACATCTTCTCAAGAACCCCTGAAACCTCCTGAAGTACTGGAGCACCCTCACAGATCTCAGAGGACCACCCAGAGGAGCTCCCTCAGAGACCTCAGTGATCCCTGCGCCCTTCTTGAAGACTTCCTGAAAGACCATGGAAGTGCTTCAACTCCTGAGCCCCTAAAGCACCCCAGTATCCCTTCAAGGACAAGGAAACCTTTTTGGGACCATTTGATCCTCTTCAAGGACCTGGTACCTTATGTGGTGTCCCTGGGAGTCCCAAGGGTCCTTGATGAGATCTCTGGAGTCCTTCTTAAAGACCTGGGACATTCTAATCATTTACTCATTTACTGAGGAGCTGCTTCACTCTAGCAGTGTGTGTTTTAGTGTGACCAGACTGAAGATGATCACCTTACTGTCAATGATTCACTGTAAACTGTGTGTGTGTGTGTGTGTGTGTGTGTGTGTGTGTGTGTGTGTGTGTGTGTGTGTGTGTGTCTGTCAGTGGGTTTAACAGGGACAAAGTTGGGCTGTGCTGAAGGCGGCTGTGGAGCCTGCACCGTCATGTTGTCCAGATACCAAACACACACTCAGCAGCTGCTGTATCCTTCACACAGTGTGTGTGTGTGTGTGTGTGTGTGTGTGTGTATAAATGTATGTGTGTGTGTTGATGATGAACCATACCATCAGCTGCAGTCATGTGCTCTCATCTGACATCAGGTCTTTGATGATGACAAACTGATTTCACGGCTGATATAAACCCGATGTGAGCAGATAAATGGTCTTTAACTGCATCTAGCCATTACGCTGTTAACGCCTGTCTCGCCCCCCTGTGCTCCCTACACCTGGTCGCCGTGACGACCGTGGAGGGCATCGGCAGCGTGGCCCGAAAACTACATCCTGTGCAGGTAAAACACAATCTCACACACACTGACCTGAAAGCTTTGCTCATGTTAAAGCTGCTTTGATACATTTTGGCCACTGGAGGGCAGCACTGTTCACAATGACATAAAAATACCTGTTAAATAAAGTCCTGCCTTTAATAAATCTTCAGCCTTTAAAAAGTGTTAAATAACATTAGCATTTTAAAGTTGGCGAGGTGTTAAAATGTAGAGTAGGATCCATCTTCATGATTATTATAAATATGTATTTTCCCGTTCAGGAGCGAATAGCGAGGGCTCACGGCTCTCAGTGCGGGTTCTGTACTCCGGGGATCGTCATGTCCATGTACGCTCTGCTGAGAAACAACCCCACGCCCAAAATGGCCGACGTGGAGGAGGCCTTCCAAGGTAGACTGTCTGTTGACTGGCTCGTCTGAATCAAGAGTTTAAACCTGATTGGTTTTG